AAATCTGACCTGTGTGCGTCCATGCCAGCGTCTCGGCAGGCTGTGGTACAGAAAGCGACTCCGCAGCAGACCGGACACGGGACAGCGGCGAACAGCCTTAATTAGGATTGAGGAAAATTAACTTAAATGACAGAAAGAAATTATAGAATATGCATCATTTTATATATAAGCTAATTACTCACATCGAAAGATCAGCATTTAAAGTGATGACAAACTTTGAGCAACTTAATTTTATGTATCATCTAGACAACAAAGTTGTGTTTATGAAGTACAGCAAAATGAACAGTTTTTCAGCAAAGGGCGAATATTTTTGCAAAGTCATGTATTATTCTAAAACAACTCTTCAATTATTTCCTAGCACTAACAAATTATACCATGCATGATAAGGTATTGACGCTAGCCATCATTTGCTGTATGATTTAATGGTAAGACGTACATCGAGACCAGTTGTATCTCATTTAATATAACCATCCGTGACCGTATAGAAATGGCCTCTATTTGAACGAATTTTCCTTGTTTTCGTTGTTTCTATCATTATGTGTATTTATTTTTAAACCATAATATAGCAAAAAAGACACTACCGATAAAATGGAGATTCCTCAAAAATAGAACGACATATGCGTAAAAATATAATTTTAAAATTGTATTAATGAGCAATTGCACTTCGTAGCAAAATGTTTAAAGTTCTTATGCCGTTCATAATTCTTTCTTAAATACAACGAGGAATGCTTACATACATAAACATAACATGCAAAACTCATGTTATGTTTATGAAACAACCTGTTTCGGTTAAACACGTTAATATCACTATACTATACTGGAATTAACTGAAATTTTCTGGCATCAGTCTCCGTCGCACATAATATGACGCGTTTTTCGGAGCTTTAAAGTTGCAACGAATAAACTTTGATAAAACTGGGCCGAGGTTAACGACTGGCTCTGTGTTCTATGATGTTAACAGAATCAAGAGGCTTTGTTTTGAATTTAATAAACAAATTGCGATGCTCATATTCTGACGGACGTGGTGACTGCAATGTCATGAAATTTCACAAAAGATTTTCAATAAAAATAATATTTTTTGGCAAAGAAGGGCAGCGTCAGCCTATCTTTAAAATACTAATGCATTCTAATAATAAATAAATCTCGCATGTGTAAGAGATTTTCTTATACCTCCACATTCGCAATGTTATCAGTTTAATGAATTGAATTTTCTGTAATCAAGGAATTTATGAGGTCGATTAATTCCTGATAAGTTCATAATCCCTTTTATTTAAACTGTCATCAATGATGAAACTGAAATCGATAATTTTTAGTATTTCTTATGTTTAATTTTTATTCTATATAACTTAAGATGGCAGAGATGTGCAGAACAAGAGCTGTCATAACAGACAAAGACAGAATTGATGATTCCTCAGTAGAGTGAAACTATATAATTGCAACGATGCTATTATCCAGCAGCCATTTCCTCGGAAAAGCCATTTTCTAGCTATAACAATATATAAAACTATATATAAATGTGGTAGACGAGCAGCCGTCCTGTGATAATTTAATCTATCAAAGGTGGATCAAACCACGATGGATGGTTAAATCTGCTGCACATCTCACTGTACTGTAACCACAAAGATATCAATTGAAAATGTGTTTACAGCAGTTATAAAGGTAATTGAAATTCTGTATGAGCTGTCATAACAGTAATTGAAATTTGGTATAAGCTGTGATAACAATGATTGAAATTTTGCATAAGCAGTGATAACAATGATTGAAATTTTGTATAAGCTGTCAGAAAAATGATTTAAATTTTGAACAACCTGTCATAACAATGATTGAAACATTGCATACAACAGCCACAACATCAATTGCAACGGCGAAAACAAAACCCATAATAACGAATGGAACCTATAGAACAGCAGTCACAGCTGTTGGACAGCAACATCAGCTGCTGTGAACAGCAGCATTTAAATAAATTTCAAAAAAAGAGCTAAACAATAACTAGAGTCCCAAGCATGACAGCCCCAAATGAGAACTCACCCTCATGAGGGGAAAACTTTATGTGTACGGCGGTGGAGGCTGAGGGGAGGGCAGGGTGGGGAGTGAAGCCCTGAGCAGGGGGCGCACTCTCCCCTACGCCCTTCCAGTCGTTGTCATGCGCGTTCTCTTCAGTGCCAAAGAAAATTTTTGAATTAATATTGTACGTTTGTTTTTTGAAAATTTATGATTTTACTGTAATAATTTTTGCATGTCAACAATATTTAAAAATAATAAATACATATTGCATTTATTATTGCATATCGAGAAATTATCAATGCCAAATTTATAAGTTAGCAATGCCAAATTTACGTATAAATTATCATGTGTAATAATTTATAGCTACTTTATTGCGAGTTAAGAGTATATGAGACTTTACCAAGAATCAATTACTGAATCTTAGCTTTCAACGTCATGCAGACGATTTCTCTGTTAAGAGAAAGACCTCGTGTGTGCAATAATCCTCAACGATAAACAATAATGATTCAACAACTTGTCTTTTATTGTAAAAAACAACATCGAAGCGTCCATGAAATCTCATTGGGCAATACCGAGGCATCTGTCCAGCCGGTAATTGGCATGGGAAACTTATCGAGAAGAATTGTGTGCAGTGTACGTTCAGTAACTTTTATTGCTTAAGCCCTGGCATCAAAACTTTGATGTTTGCTGGCGAATTATGATGAGTAATTATGATTAAAAAACAATTAACATTAGCCTCGCTATATTACAGGCTACCTCTTGCTAAAGGGTATAACGATCCGATATTCTATTGAAATGCAAGACAGAGGCGACCGATAACCAGCCACGCGTTTCCTGTTATAATTTAATCTATGAGATCAGCTTCCCATTCAATGAAAAGGGAACATGAACTTCTAAGAATCACATGATTCGGTTACAAAGCAGCTCTCATTTAAGCAGCACGGCTGGAAGGCCGGTGTGGGAGGTTATATTGACGATAGGTATCTGAATACGTAAAGTGGACGTCGAAATTCGGAATTTGAATGTGGTTACAATAATAATAATCATAGCTTGTACACAATACTTACTACACGAGAACTTAACGCTTGGTTAGTTCCCAGTAAACGAGCGCGATGAACCAAGAGACTTTAAAAACCTTTTACCATCACCATATATTTATCTTGAGTCAATTCTTCGTTCTTTTAATTAGAGGACGTGATCACGAAATGTTTCAGTTTCAGATAAATATAGAAGGAACAATAACTTTATTTCATTTGTTGAATAGCTAAATATGTTAACACTAACCATTCGCTGCAAAAGACAAATTCGAAACACCTTCACGATGATAGTATTGACGTCCCTTTCCTTGTTTGAATCGTAAATTAACTAGATATTTAAAAGCTAAGAAAAGAAGTAATTAATTAAAAATAACGAATAACGATTGCGTGACATCATCCCAACGTACGCAGATGCACATCGTGCACAACAATATTGATAAACTACGGACGATCGCATTTGAACAGAGAGCACATCTTTGAATCTAAAGAAAGAGCCGAGTTTGAAATTGTATACCAACACAACTTGAAGATTGACATTTGGGAAGTATTTGTTGAACAAAATTTTTAATTCTGTTGGCATAGTTACGGACGCAGGGCCGAAGTATGGAAAAAAGCAATAAACAAATTTCTTCTCATCGCTTTCTGGAGCAACCTCACTGTATCGCTTTGACATGAATTTCTTGATTTGTGTACACCAGACTTGCAGAAAATCTATTGAGCGCGAAACTATTGCGCAAAAATTCAAATTCAGCGTGCATAGCATGCTATGTAGAACATATACAAAAGCATCGGTAAAATAATGTTTGAAGACCATTCAACTTGAATCAGAATGACCAAAAGCTAAAGAAACTGGTACTTAGGCCGGTGAATGCCGGCTTTCGGAACACGTAAGACTGAAAACGGCCATTAGATTTGGTAACATTACAATCGAGGAAACACAAACTATTGTTAGATTCAACCTCCATTGTAAATTTGATGGAATGATGATGGAAAATTGAAAGATGTCAACGACGTATCTGCCCTAGAATATTAAATCTTCCAACTGACTTCGAAACGTTTTCTATATGATAAACTTTTATAAAATTTTCTTAGCTTTCAAATTTGACGATGATATTCCCATTGGAATCCTATATTATTTTAGCTACTCCACAGTCACACAGTTCAATTCTCCCGCTAGATCTGACTATATTTGGTATTTTTTTGCATTCTTGAACGATTTAACCCTTCACCCTCTCAGCATAAGTAAGCGATGGTACCAACCGCTCACTGACACCGCTCACCTGAATCATTCATTATCAGTTGCTCAGCCGCGGTTTGATCATCCACATTTAAATCCCCAATAAGTGATGACTCAACCAAATTTCCGTTCTCATTTTGGCACGATTGTAGACACGCGGATTCCTTTTGTAGACCCGCACACTCCGTCAACTTTTGTTCAATGTTCTGCTGCCAGGAGCTTTTCTTTTCTTCGTCGAGTCGCGCGTTGGGCAGAGCGCTGAGGGCGCCTCTGTAGCACTGCAGCGCCTCCTTCACGAGATGCAGCTGCTGGTAGCAATGACCTGCGCGCTCCAGCACCTTAAGTAATGTAAATAAACCAATAAATTGATGTTGTTAATCTTCATGCATGAATAAATAGCTTTTAAGGCTTGAAATTGTGCATTCTTGTAGGAAAAAGTTACATGTCATATATTTAAGAATTTAACTCAACTCCATTATTGTAGCCTAACTTATAATAGCGATATTCTCAGATCCTTAGTCATCTAACATCGTTGAGCCTTCGCCTGTATTACATGCCACATAGCGTGCCTCCACACAGCACATGCCGCTTACGTAACTTGTTCTCTCAATGCCAAGCCACATTGTGAGTTCCCTCATGGCACAAGCCACATATAACATGCCACATGGCGAGGTCTCTTCATTTCACTAGCCACATTTCACCAGCCACATAACAGGTCACCACATAACACATGCCACCTGTCACCGGCCACCTTATAGCGCAGGTCTTGGGGGTAATGATACACCAGCGCCAGACGTAGGTCACGTAAGCACCACCTGTAGAGCTTCAGCTGGCACAGCGCGGCAGACCTGTTGCCGTATGCCAGCTGCAGGCTGCTGCCTTTATTAAGCAATTACATTGTTATTCATTCTAAAAATAAATTCAATTGAAATAAAATAATCAAAAGTCTCATTCAATATAAAAGAATTAAAATAATTCATAATCTATCAATAGTGCAGGAAATAATAGCAAAATACCATAAATTTAATGCTGAAGTAATGTCTACGTAGAAGTGATAGGCCGGTGTTACAAAACATCAAAATACTTTAATTGATTCGATATAAGAACAAGCAGAAGAAGACACTTTCTTCTCTCGGAGAATTGATATATTAATTATCGGCAACAATTACTATCAAATAAATATTAATAAAAACATAACTGTGTGACGCATCATGAGCATGAACATAGGAGTAACATGTAATTGTAATTTAACTTAATTCCCATTCAGAATAACAGTTCCCTTTCACTGGATTTGGTTCAAGGCTTTGTTGTCAAGCCACCGCCAATCATCATTTATCTGCTATTGATACTCTATAACTACACATCCTCTCCTCTCCCTATCTGCACTCCGCAGTGTATAGCCAAAGAAATGCTTTTGAAATAAACTTAAGCCTGAACATAAGAAATTTGATCAGTACTCACTGCAATGAGTGACAGAGAGCGCATTTTCTCGTTCGTCCGTCTGTGAAGTCACGGACTGATGGACGGACGTACATGACGAGCACAATAGCGCCTTTTTTCCATAAATGAGAAAATGCGATAAAAATGGTGCCAACTCCTTTGTATTGTTTCCTATGAAAGAACCATAACTCACCAATACATGTTATTTATACGAGGGAATTACGTTTCGTTTTAGTAAAGCAGTACACATGCATATATCAATGTCAATACCATACAATATCGGGACATGAAAACATGGAAAATTTCTCATTCTTATTCGCTTATTAAATGCAGACAATTTCGGATAAAATCTCAGGCGTTAATATATCTTGAAATTTTCCATGAATTTAGTTCGTAAATCAAGAAAGTAATTTTTCTTACTCGTGTAGATTTTAAGCGTATTTTCTCATTTATGGAAAAAATGCACTATTGTGCACGCCATGTCCATCCGTCCGTCCGTCCTTGACTTCACGTTTTCGTCGACGAGAATATGCGCTCTCTGTCACTCACTGCAGTGAGTCACAGAAAGCGCATTTTCTCGTCCGTCCGTCCGTGAAGTTACGGACGGACGCGACGAGCACAATAGCGCATTTTTTTCCATAAATGAGAAAATGCGCGAAAAATGGTGTTAATTACTTTGTATTGTTTTCTATGAAGGAAACATACCTCACCAAGACATGTTATTTATACGATGGAATTAAGCAAAGTAGTTCTCATGCATATTTTCATAGTCAATACCATACAATATCGAGACATGTAAACATGGCAAATTCGTCATACTTATTCGCTTATTAAATGTAGACAATTTCCGATAAACTGTCAGGTGTCAATGTATCTTGAAGTTTTCCATGCATTTAGTTCGTAAATCAAGAAAGCAATTTTTCTTACTCGTGTAGATTTTAAGTGTATTTTCTCATTTATGGAAAAAATGCACTATTGTGTTCGCCATGTCCGTCCGTCCGTCCGTCCTTGACTTCACGTTTTCATCGACGAGAAAATGCGCTCTCTGTCACTCACTGCAGTGAGTACTGAGTTACATTTTTTTGTGTAGTACGTGCTCGTGTTGTATTTTTTGTATGTGTATCACACACCTGTATGAGGAGCCCGAGTCACAGCTTGGCTGTATCGCTCCAGCGCCGTGCGCACTTCACGACGCTGGAACGCAGCGTTACCTTCCTCCCGTAACCTCGCGGACGCCTCGCCGTCCTTGCTCTTGTAGAACCTTCCTACCTGCAGGCTGTGCACCGGCTGTACCGGTGTTAATTATTGCTTTATGTGTAATAATAGAATACAATAATAATATGTAATAATAATGTAATAATTCTATTACTAGTAATAATAATAATATAATTATTAAAATTATCATTATTATTGTTACTATTATAATTATTGTTTTCATTTATTGCTATTATTAAGTATTATTAGGAATATCGTCTGTTGTTATTAGCAGCATAGAGTCATGTATGAAAATTTGGGTCTAGTTTTTGCTGTAATTTCTTACTTGGAGTTATGAAGCTGAACACAACTGTTCAGGCTATGTTAGTGTTCTTTATAAACGATGCTTTAAATAATAAAACAATGGTAATTCAATGGACGAATTAATGTACTTCATAATCACTTGCCACCAATTGTGTGTTGTTGCTTGCAAGTTCTTTTTTAGATTTGTTTTTGTGAAGTTTTTTCGTTTGTTAACACGCGGGAGAAATATTTTTAGAAACCCTTACAAGTGACACGTTATACATGTGTGAAAAATTTTGCATTTAATCAAAGATGTTGGTTACGAGCAGAAGTAATTTGAAATTGATAAGCCAAAGTAATTTAATTAATTCTAATCAAGTTATTTCAAGCAGAAGTGATTTAAATTTGATGCTCCAAAGTAATTTAACTAATTTTAATTAATTTAATTTAACCAGAAGTAATTACAAATTTATCAGCCGCAAGCCCAGCCAATGAACCGTTGCCTATGGTGCCTTATTTTCAAAGGCATAGAAATCATTTTTGCAATCATTGCATCATTCATCCTTCCACTTATGATATTAATTATGTCCTTGTCAAATTTTATTTAAAAATTTAAATTCAAGTAATATCTTTTTCGCTGTCTCGTGTTGTCGGAGAGTAATTATACTCGTAAAGGTTTGTGCCATTATAAGCGATGAACAAGACTACATTATACTGTGTATGAAACTTCACAATCAAGTGCGATGGTATAAACCTTTCCACAGCCGTGATATATCAACTGGATTAATCGTTACCGTTCTTTGTAACGGCAACATAGTCATTTTCTTCAAACTTTCGCTGCTGAAGGCTAGAAGTAACTTTCAAATGCAAGTTTGTGAGTGGAGGCTCGGAATAGCTCTTTCTAATTTGTCACAGCGGCGCGGAGTAGCTGGGACCAGCCAAGCAGTTAACTTCTTGTCCTGCGGACAGCGTTGCTGCCCACATCTTCTTTTGCGTGGAATTTCCTCATTACAAACTTCGAAAAACTATTAAAACGGGGTACAAATTCATCTTGAGCCATTCAATGAAGGCACGATTTTTTCACGTGAAATAAAAAAAGCACACTGCATTATCGACCATGTATCTTTATTTCCCGTTCAGCGCAATCATGTTGAATATTTTTGTTCATTTCCATCAACGATTAAAATATTAACGATTCCCATTTCTCGAGCTTTAAGACAACCTTCACAATTCTCAGACGGATCAAAAAAAGAGATGTGGCGCAGCAAAGCTCGCAGCAATATTATTGCGAAGATATAAAAAATTAGGCAAACAGTCATCAATATCGCAAATAGCCAACGTCTAGCAAAAATATAATATCTTTATCTTCGACCGCAAGCAAAGTTGGGAAGAAAAAACTCCGAGCTAAGTTACCGAACTCGGAACTTTGATCACGGAAACTTACTTTAACTCCCCAGACCATCTTGATCCTGTCATAATCAGTGGCTAGTCGACTGAATCTCGTCACGAAATCTTGCGATATGTAGCCAGAGATTTGGTCAATCCAGTGCGTAAAGAAGCCGTCTTTGTCAGCGACGAGCGTGACGTCTGAGCAAAGCTGTCGCAGATACGAGGCCAGCGCAGCTTCGCCGGCGCTCGCGGGCGGCTGCCTGCAGTAAAAAACGATATTCCAGAAGGACTGGAGTGAGAAAATTAGTTTGAAAATAATGAGGATTTTAAAAAGAACAATATTGGAGACCACCTGTTGAATATGCGTTTAAAATTTATAATCTAAGAAATTTTGATGCAAATAAGAGGGGAATGTTTGAATTCAGTTTTCGGGATATCTAGGTACAGATTTTGTAGGAAATTTGTTGACAAAAAGACATAATTAAACAGTGGTCTTCAAAGCCACATATAGTCTGATTATATCTAAAATACTGTAGGCATAAGGTAGTGCAACGACAATTTTTTCGAAGCAAACTATAAGTAAAGTCTCAAAAGACGAGAAGTGGGTGGCAGCTATATAGGGGAAAAATCAGAAGAAAAATAAATACCGAGTGCTTTCCCAAGGGCACCCATGTACAAAGCATGAAAAAACCGCAATTTATATTAGTAAAAATCTAATTCAAAGTGATTTATGGAGGACAATAGATGTAGAATGTAGGCATTTTAGATGCTGTATTAAATAAATGATGTGGGATATTCAATTAAATTTATCTGAAGCTAAAACACACAAATGCCGTTATTTCCAATAATTTAAAACAATTTAGTTCATCATCTTCGTGTAGCTCATTGAAGTATTTAATTAGTTATTCAAGTATTTAATTAGTTATTGAAGTATTTAATTAGTTATTAGTTGGTTAGTCTTAGCCTCTACTTTATGCAATGCATTGTCATATGTTGGATCTCAGTAGAATTATTACGTCTTTTTACAAATAACAGTCAACCATGGAATCAATTTGAAAAATATTTATTGGAATCATCAATTTAATTACTTTTTAAAAATTAAACTGATGTTTCGTTTTCATGCCCAAATTCTGAGCAGAAATGTAAATGAAAACCTCGCTGCACGTACGGAAAAGCATGTTTCACACACAACACACGCAAAAACAAACATGTTAAAGTTATAAATAATACACGTAGAAGCGCAGGAGCAACCTTTGAGGGAGGACTGTTAATTTTTTTGCAGGAGGTAGAGCTGTTGTAAGCCGATTAGCAATTATTCAAAACACTACTACCGCACTTCGTTCAAAAATTTTATGTTAAAAACAAACCCTGGTATATTTAAAATATCACGTAAAATTGCGGCATTTCTTGCGTGTTTTTAAGGGAGTCAAATTATTGTACGTCTGATTCACAATATTGTACTAACACAGTGCGCATACATGTGTCATGAATTTCAAAAAAATTATATGGTAAAAATAAACTCTCGTTTATCTGAAATATCACTTAAAATTACGGTATTTTCTCGTTTGTTTTTGAGGGAAATTACTTGTCTGATTCAAAGTATTATACTAATACAGTGTACAAACTGTACATGCATGTGTCACGAATGTCAATAAAATGGGTTCTGTTTTACAATCATTTATTATAACTCACCCGGACCTTGACGACTGCATCCAGCTGGAGACGTGCGAAGAAATATCGATAGGTTTTACTATAGATTAGGATATGACGTCATGGTAATTATTTAAACAATGCTCACGACTTAAAACAATGTTTACAAACGGAAAATTCTAAACCGAATATTTTCCAAATTTTTATTTTTACATTTAAGCCTAAAAATTATATCACATGAAAATCCTGAGAAAATAATACATTTAATTAAAAATATTTTGTAAATTTTTTTACCTTTCAATGAGAATTAATACGTTGAAGCAACAATAATATGCCGGACGCCGCTGCTTTTATATACCCGCTTAATATATATATAAAAAATGTATCTCATATCTGAATGTCATAATTACTTTTTGAAACCGACAGATATTTTCGGAATTTACTTCATTCCATATTAATAAATTTCATTAATAAAATTAATGGAAATATCCAGAGTAATCTTTAAATTGTTAATACCTAAGCATTTTAGGGCCAAGCAATTGGTTTGCTTTAAAACTTGTCTGACCACGTCATGACCATCTGGTATGACTGACCACGTCATGACCATCTGGTATGCCTGACCACGTCATGACCATCTGGTATGCCTGACCACGTCATGACCATCTGGTATGCCTGACCACGTCATGACCATCTGGTATGCCTGACCACGTCATGACCATCTGGTATGACTGACTACGTATCTCATATCATTGACATTACTCACCTTCATGTCTTATCTCTGAGCATGTCAACCATTTTTATATCAGTGAAATGATAAGAAAAATAAAATATTTCCAGGCTCGTCTACCTAATCCTATGTCACCGACATCGTCAGCATGATTCGTTACATATCTTACGTTATTATCATTCTAAAACGTTGCTTCATTTACTTACTCGCTCGTAAAATAATGTTGATTGTAACAGTAACATGTCTTCAATAAATATCACTTATTTTTTCAATAATTAAGTGCAAGAAGCCAAATTAAAATATCCAACAGCTTTCATTTTGACTTGAACTGTGAAGCAGTTCTTCATGCACCTTTTGTAAACTCAATAACACGATGACATCTTTCCAGCCCGGGAGTTCTACTAACGTAAAATGCAATTCATTACATCAGCATCCCGAGGAAATACCAGCCTTTCTCAAGTTCTGAAGAATCTCAAATTTTCAAATATTCCGAAAATACATTCACATAAAAAGCTAATTAGTTTGTTTGAAGTTTAAGTTTGTTTGTTTGTTTTTTAAACGAACTTCGTGTCAAGTGCCGAGGCAAAAGATTTGTATTATAGCATAGCACAAGCTGAGTTCAGGCCTCGATCATAAGTTGTATTCTAACTTTGTCATGTGCTATTTTCAAAACGTTCTTTCCCAGATCGATTTTATAGACCCGTCGAAGATTTCTAATTACATTAAAAAATATAACTCAGTACTCACTGCAGTGAGTGACAGTGAGCGCATTTTCTCGTCGACGAAAACGTGAAGTCACGGACGGACAGACAGACGGACATGGCGAGCACAATAGTGCATTTTTTCCATAAATGAGAAAATGCGCTAAAAATGTCAATTTATTGACGCCAATCGAAACTGCAGATTTATAGAAGCGTGCAAGTTTTGTGATACTATTGCAAAATTCGTCATTATATAATCATTGTTCACTCGTTTACTGATACACTGTATTTATTATCACTGGCTGTCATTAGTTTACATGTTCAGTAGGATAACATCTAAATGCTCGGAAAAGTTGCGGTAAAATATTTCTCACCATAGAGTCAACTGGATTTAATACTTTATTGCTATAACTCAATGCAGTAATCGAACATAACTGAATTTCAATGGCTGATTTACTGTGAACTTTAGAAAATTTCCAGTATTTCATTCGTTTTTTGTTCCTCAACTTTGGAGTTCCATATAACACGAGAATCTTCTCTTAAAAACAATTCCCCTAAGAGGCAGTTTCTGCAATGCGCCGAAATGAGACGCTCTCTATTACAATGGCCAACTCAAGATCTTGAGCAGTTATTCTTAGTTCTACACTATAGGGTTTTTAACGCGAACGCCGCTATTTTAGTTTCTGTTCCATACGCATCAGCGTCGTACAATTTTATGGAATATTGCACATACGAGTTATGTATTTAAAATCTCTGTGCTTTCATTGGTAATAAAAGAAAACGTTTAAGAAATGACCCCCAAAGATACGTACTCCTACATCATTTTTTTCTGTTGAAGATTTTGTAGTTTGTTTTGTATGACTTAGATGCGTAATTCGACTAATGCATGCGCAATAAAATAAACTTTAAGAAAAGTCCGCATTTATAATAAGTTTTAAAGGGACTACTAAACGGAGTGGTAAAAAAATCACGATAAAATTTATGAAAAGAAAAGCTTCATGTGAGCAAGTTTTCGCTTAAAATTCCAACGTTGCAAAGAGCTCTAGAATATTTCTTTTTTCCCGGAGACAATTGGATGAACGCACTTCACTAATGCTAAGAATATTATGCAAATGAAGGATTGACGTAGGAGAACATCAGCATTTCAACGTGACTCCTCAATGTGATCAAATTGTTTCACGTAAATATAAAACAGATGTTTCTGAGTGATCACAGCGCCTGATTTTTTAGGTGTTTCCGTAAACAAGTTATTAAATGCAGCGAATTTTTGTTGCAGGTCATTTCATCTGGAATCATCAATCAAGTTTCGTAATTCCATTTTGCATGAAAAATGTTAATGAAATTTGTAGCTGCAATCAAGAAATTTGAACTGGAAGTGCGATGTTATTATTGCTTGTATTGTTGACGTTATTTTAATAGGTCGCAATAATGCTGCCGAAGATTTCGAAAATTATTGATCACTGATCTAGCCAAGTAAATGCGCATTTGCGAAGCAGTGCTAAGTTAGGAATCGAAAATACGGAGTCGGTGACGACGCGATTGAAGTTATGAACTCATAAAGTATAGCTTTTCGATCGCCATTGCAAGCTATACTGTCTATACACATAGAGTTCAATCGCAATTGAAAAAATATAACTCAGCACTCACTGCAGTGAATGACATGCAGAGAGCGCATTTTCTCGTCGACGAAAACGTGAAGTCACGGACGGACAGACAAACAAACAGACAGACGGACGGACATGGCGAGCACAATAGTGCATTTTTTCCATAAATGAGAAAATGCGCTAAAAACTGTTAAAAATTTTAGGATTTCGCTGAAGGTTATGAAAATGACTTTTTTGACCGGAATTTTGCAATAAATACATTTTGTTTGTCTCTTGTTAGGACACTGGCCCGTTAAAGAATGACTAAGTTTCTCAAATTATCGTCATGGTGTCAGGACCAAATGACGGTGATAATTTATGTTCTACATGACAACTGAGCCAATAGATTTTGACTGTTGCTCTCATATTGCTAAATATTGTTACTATATCACGCTCCTACCCATTATTAGCGTAAGTGATACATGTTTAGCGGGTAGTGCACACAGCACTGCGATATCGAGGCGTCCACTGAGCACTGCCAACTGACTGCGGTGCTACTACGACAGTCGAGGGGAGGTTCGCGTATTTTTAGATGCAGTCAGTTCGAGTTCTGCGCCAGCTTTGCATGAAGTGAAGGAACTTTAACCTGTGAAATACCGGTTAATAAACTTTCTCGATTTGCTGGACATACGAAGTACGTTTTGGGAGACATTACATGCTTTGAAAGTGATTTGCAAGATTACGCCTCTTCAAATCAAAAAAAAATTATCAACAATTTACTGTTTGAAAAGTAGAAATATCCGTCGTAAATTGATTCAGTTGATTCAATTGTGTCTACATGTCAGCTTTAAATTGAGTTAGAATAGAACTCGTTCCTTCTTTTATATACGAAGTCAAAAAGCAGAAGATTTGCGTGGTTTCAGAACGATGTAATCTATTACGAGTCTCTTATATTTCATTCCCTCACGCCACTCACCTGGTTTCTCGGTTGCTTACGTACTCTCTTCAATTTGACCTATTTGAACGCTGCTTGTCAAATGCAATTTCTTCGGGCTCATTGCTTAGATTAGGGAGTAACATTTCGGTCGGAGATTGACTGTTGTCATTTAACCTGAAGCTAATTGTATTGAAGGGTTCTTTATTATGAAGTTCTTCAATAATTAGTCATAAATTAAGCTGGATTTTTTCAGTAGATTACATGGTGTCAGATAAAGTTGGACTGTATTACAGGGACCACTGCCAGAAGCCTGGCTTGCGTTGCATCTCAGTTCAGAGCAGTTCATTGGAGAAGCAACCGCTGCGGGTTGAGCTGCAAGAAAGGGGCATCCGGCCGGTCAGGGCGCCCAGGCACTCTCCACTCCATAATAATAACGTTATTATGGAGTGCTATTATTAATAACTCGCTAAAACGAGTTAACGCTATTATTTTTAAGCAATAATTTGGCAGGGTGGCCCAGTGGTTAAAGTTCAGAGTGCCGGGATTGGAGCAGAGAGGCGCGGGTTCGATCCCAGCTCTGTGCGCCAGTTTCTGGTCAGAATCGGCAAAGAGGCCGGGCGGTTAAGCACAGCAGAATTGTAGCAGTGAGTTGCGAGTTCGAAGCCGCAAAATGCTGTGAATGTTCTGCGATGTTAAGAATCGGCGACAGGCCTACGGCCTAATAAACGCTGAAACCGCTATTATTATTATTATTATTATTAATAATAGCGTTATAATAGGCACTCTCCATAATAATAACGCTAATAGTGGGGATAAAAACCATTGCTTTTTCTCACATAATCTCTCATGCTATATTCAAGTCTACTCTGTTCTAGTTTAGAAGTAGCACGTTTTTATAGGGTCGGAATCTACTAATAGGTATTTGCTACAAGCCAGTCAACTTATACGTAGTGAACATGTTTGTAAATGGAATAGGAAACAATTTGGATAAAGCTGCGTTAACATGTTGACATCTTTAGCCTGCTCTACATAATATTGTACTTCGAAGTTCGGCAACAGGAAACAAACAGAACATTGAATCACCATTCAAATTCAATAAAAAAACATACCAACCTGGTGATAAGTAAAAAAAAACCAACCTGATAAGATAAAAAACCAACCTGGTGATAAGTAAATTTTAATAAACCCATAATGCCTTATATATGATGTATCCATAGCATTGTGGTTCATCATAACATCATATGCCATTAGAGATGATAACTCATGATAGTTCTTCACAGTCTCTTGTGACGTCGTGGCATCAGAGCCTGATGATATCATAATATTATAAGATATCATCATAATATATTGAGTCATCACTTCTTCTTATAGTTCAAGACATTTAAAAAGGACAACTCTTCGTAGCAGGAACTGCCCTCGATGTTCAGGGAAGCGTATGCGACGCAATATAAGCTTGTATTGAACGCACATGTTCTAGGCAGCCCCGATGGGTAACTACCCTCCTAGAGATACTTTATTTGCTATGTTGCCGGACTGAAGCTTCACAGCAAATAGCCTAAATTGATCACTTTAGAGCGGCTGACTCGTCACACCAGGAATACGTCAAGTGAATACTTTGACTCGACCTAGAATGGAAAATGCCTTTATAATTAATATCAACTCTCGTATATCGCCAGTTTCACAGGGTCTTTATCGTGTATGCATTAAAAGTGCCTAAACATTGAATACACGGAAGCTCTAATGAGTGGTGACCGTTGCTGCTTTAAATTGCTTGGATTACGGCAAAATCGAATTTCGGTTCTACTGAGATTTATGATTACAATAGATTTTACATTACTGCATGAAAATTCAGCGAGAAAATTCCTGAAAAGTATTTAGAAATTAATGGAAAATGGAATAAAGCTTCTGTGCTGAAATTAATTTGAAGAGTTACCCGAGCATTTGAATTGATTCGTCCGCACTATTTCAAATAGTTTTTAAATTACTGTATGGTTTACGCCAAGTCAAATAAGGTTTAGAATAGTCAATATTTCCTTATCCAGCAAAATGGTTTATTCACAAATCTATTGCAGGAAACTGATTTTTCATCAGGAAACCATTTGTTCATAGCCACTTCCAAAATCGCCACACAATGAAACTATTGACCAGATTAGTTAACTAAATTGTAACAGCGGATGTTTTAAATTAGTTCATATGGTACTATGATATTTGTTTACAATCATTCTCGTGATAAAGATTAACAATCTTAGGCAACAAAATGCTGCGAAATACGAAGAAAAAAAAACTTTAATTTCACTTCGGAGCCGAGTTAAAAAAATGCTATTTGGCGAGGGCGTTTCAAATCGTTACAGAAAGCCCACAAGTGTCATTAGGAAGACTTAATTTCACTACAAACTGTCCTCAAGTCTTTTGTAGAATAAAGTAAAATACATATTATAAACCAAATTTCATGTAGTAATCAGTGCAAAGTCGAAGCATAAACACAACGCGTTCGGAAAGTAAAAGAAGGGAGCATCAATCCCGATGTATGTAGTCGCATAGACAACTTTGTGGACATAGACATCTTACTCTTATTTATTAATTCAAACACAATTCAAACACAAACAATAAAAACTATGAATGCATTAAAATTTTTTCATCGATCAAAGCTTTTAGTTCATCGCAGATTTAGCTTATCAGTGGAGAAGTTCTTAGAATTACTGATAATAATTAATATTAATAGCGAATGCATCATCATATCAACGCAATCATAAAACTTTTATTGATCACTGAACTGATCATTTCAATTGATCATCGAACAAATAATTCTATTCATTATCGTTTAATCATTCAGTGCACCTTTAATCGACAAACTTAATCCCAATACAGTTTTTAACAACAGGCGCTGAGTATTAACATTGAAGATACAATTATTACCACGATTTTTTCAACAAGATAATTGAATAATTTTCTTCATCTGCGATTACTTAACGAATTCTACATGTCGTCTGTTCCCGAGCGCCAGCAAAATCAGCCAAGGGTTTAATAGCATAAGCCTACAATTGGTGCAATATTTTGAAAGGTTCGCGATAACTTGAACCTTTATCATCCGTCAAAACTTTAACCTCTAAGTCCCCCGCGGTAACTTATAAGACGGCAACTTGTAACGTCAGAGTTTCGGCAAATGCGAGGCTTCGCTTGTAATCACTAAACGAATTAATGTTTTGCTTGCGTCATCCAAAACACGAAAAGAAATTCTCATCCGATAATAAAATTATTGTGAAACTATTCAATTTTTTTACTTATAATTCTGAGAAGTGTACTAACGCTAACCTTAATTAATTTCTAAAGCAACTTAAAGACTAATGATTCATTAACTATTCAAAAACTCTCCTTTCCAGCGTAATGGATTAAAAAATCACATCAATGGTACTTTTGGATCGCAAATCTTTCATATGAGATGGATTTTGCTTTATATTTTAATAAAATAAACTTGAATCGTAATGGTATTTGAAGAGAACGCAACGTTTTTTTTTTAAATATGTTCCAAGTTGTCATGCGGTTTAAAAGACTTCGCCTCGAAACATCGTCGTTTCTATGATCAAAAAAACGAAAGAGTCATCGGGAAATTTTGCGATGGAAAAATGTGTTGCAATATTCCTTGGAAACAATATTAAATACTGAAGAACAATTCTTCAAGTAACCTCTTCAGTTATGTGAAAGTCTTTCAATACAATGAGTGTGCAATGAGCCGTACGGATAACCAAACGCATTATATTGTTGTATCCACACCATCTCTGTGAATACATGAAACGTTCTTAAAACACTGACTTAACTGAAAAAAACGAATACATCTTAAACTTGCATCTCCCCTGAAGAATGATATGCATGAGGTTTATAGTTGTAATATACTCACTACTAAATTAAATTAGTAAATTATGATGACGTTAAAAGTTGCCGGTAGTTTTACCTTTTCATTCATTTTTTCTAAGTTCACTTAAAATGAGCATTGTGCATCTAAGAATATACTTCAGGTGCTAAACATTCGCAAAAATCCCTACACGTTCATGCTTCACAAGATGGTAAGACTCACCACGACCAAAACTGTTTCGTATAAGGGTGAGTTAAGAATTGAATAGAAGTGTAGGCACTGAAGAAATAGGCCCATGGTCCGTTGCCGATTCTTGAACTTTTCGTGACTTGATTCACAAGGGATCCGGCCTTTGGAACCCGATATTTCCGTAACTGACGATTGATTTGAGATAGCTGCTGGACTTATTGCCTGGTCCGTAACACATGTGGAGACCTCAGTTCGTGAACGCATTATGAAAAACAAATAACATTTTCTCAAGACAGACAATCTCGACGTCATCTACTGCATGACGTTGACGAGCTCCTTGGGCGAGACGTAGCCGTCAGAATCCGCGTCAAGAAACCGAGACACGAGCGACGTGGCGAGGGACGGTGAGGACGAGATGAGTTCACCGACCATCGAGACAGGATATCTGGGACGAGGAAATAGAGTCTGTGGTGAGTAAATATTTCGTACCATCACTGAGAACTTTTAAAATAGTTCTCGCAATAAAATAAAATAATTTTCGCAATAAAATAGTTCACACAATAAAATAGTTTTTGAAGTAAAATAGTTCTCACAATAAAATAGTTTTCGCAATAAAATAGTTCTCGCAATAAAATAGTTCTCGTAATAGACATGGACAGCCGAGGGACACAATTTTGAACATTGGCATGATTTAAAAACACGTTTGTTAACTTTTATGGCGGAAATATTTTCACGTAATAAGTGAAATTCGTCCTAAAAGAACTTTCCAACAAAAATTCGGTCCTATCATTCATTTCGATTATTATTATTTTAATCATATACGCAGACAACTAAAATTGATAGAGACAATTCGTTGACATGTAAAGGTTTAGGACCAGCAAAGTTTGATGAATTATTTTGAAAGATCGATTTCAGCTTTAATAGTTTGCTCGCATCGAAGGGATCAAAGTAAACTAATAGTTTTAAAAAAGTTTCATTGGTCTACGCTGCATATTTTTTACCTTATTCTGCTATGTTACACTTAATTTCGCTGCTTCCAGTTACAATGACGGGATATTGCCAGGGACTGAATAAGTTGAAGTAACGGATAATTGAGCACAGTTACCGGGTCTGGTTTAATACACAGTATTTTAAATGCTGCAAAAAGTGACTTTATTTACGAAAATACAATTGTTAATTATATCTCTGACATATTACTCATAGATGCAAGTTTACGGTAGTCAATATGTCATCTTTATTTATTGGATAAATTCAAGTTTAAACTAATTTTCTGTTTTTGTTTGTTTTGTGTTTTCTATTTCTGATTTGAAACTTTAAGTTATAACTTAGGTCTATGTTAACAATTGAAAAATTAAAACTATTGAACTCGAAACCTCTAAAATTCACGTGTCATTCACGAGTGAATAAATAAAATCACGAATAAATAAAAATGCTTCGCGCAAACGGACCGTCGGCACAATACCGACACGTTGCGTGGAGCTCGAGTTGTCTGCGTTGTCTCCGTGGCACTGACGAAGACAAACGACTTCGCTCTGACATGTGGGCCAAGTTGTGTCCATTCGAGACTAAATCCAGCCTTATCTCATTAATATTCCATATTCGTCCACAACAAGTTTTAAAAACCATACTATCCTATTTAAAATAGTAAATTGTTATATGCCTGATGTGAATGGAAAGTTGTTTTTCATTCGCTTCTTTGAACTTTATTGTAAGGAAAGTCATCGTAGCCAAAATGTCTAAGGCTTCGGTAATTTTGACTTTGAAATACTATACATGCATGCAACCTCATCAATAGTATATTTTTCGCCTAATGTTTTCATAGTTCGCTTATTGTGTTTAAACAGATGCAAAACTCGTCTAGGTATTGTGTTATCGCAGAAAAATATTATGCTGCAAAAATTTTATCAATTATGAATCCCGACGTACACTTTCAAGCAATATTGCCTTTGGCTAAATTTCTAATCTATTACCAGAAACATGCAAAAAATTTTCTACGATCTGTTTATTCACAAAAACAAAGATTACTTCCTGTAGACTTGTTTGAATATTAATGATATCTGAGATAGTTTACGGAAGAATATCGTTCACACGATGCTGAATTGTATGATTTTTCATCAATCGAGCCGTGACTCCTCCATGCAATTGTATTGTTCGATAACGATTCACAAAAAACTTCACAATTCGTAGCTCCAGCATTTCATTAGAAAATATGGTGATGGGGAAACTCGGGATCAAAACTCCCATCACCATATACTCTAATGAAATGTTGGAGCATGGGAAAACCGCAATTGGTACTTCATCAATAAAATCTGAGGTGCTTAAGGCTAGCGAGATTTGCGAGCGCAATAAAAGTGTTTTCGTTTTCTGTTTCATATCCATCGTTGTGTCAAAAATACACATGACCGATCCGGCTAATTTCCATCATTATTCTTTTAGCCGAAGCCGTGCAAAACTTTTGACGATCTGCACGATCAGTAGAGTAAAGTTTGTTCCCTGCATAAATAGCTGTACGCTAAACGAGCAACTTCCCAGGCATCAATCGTAGCGATCTGAACTACTAATCTCTTCTGTGCCACACAAATTCACGATCGTTGGCGGTCATTTGAACACGCGATCACATGCATAATTCTAGGTTAGCATTTCGACCGTATAAAGGTCGCGATTGTCGTAATGCACATGCCCTGTGACGGAAAGTGGGTCGAAGATCTCGTTTCTTATTGACTGTCAATGTTCGTTACAGTCAGGCACTTCAACAACGCCGGGGGCTGAGCCCCTTTGGACGACTGGGAATGGTGAAGGTCGAACAGCGACAATTTATTCTATGCTGGTCGCGGATGTTCGATAACCAGCTTTAATTGTAATTCTTTTTTTAAAACAGATATTCTAATCACAACAATGTCGGACACTGAAAAACAATCGCTAAAACTGTTTCCTTTGCATGAGGGAAGAATTGTTGTATTTGTCCTGTCTCTGTTTGACTTTCCGCAGGAATTAATTTTTACAAAAGGTCTCAATAAATTTATAAATTCATAATATTAACTAAATATTACAAATAAAAGCAATGACCCAGGTTCTAACCTTTCGCCAGGAACGCTGTTCTTGTCGAGCGCTGCTGCTTCGCCGCCCCTCTTGCCGTCTGCCAGCGACCTGTCCCTGCCAGTGCCCTCCAGGAGCTTCCAGTGACCATCATCCGCCGCACTCAGCACGGGGCCGTAATCTGCGCCTTCTACAGGTGACTCGAAAGATTGAGTGTCCAGCCATTTTAGTACAGACAGCGAAATGTCCAAAACATAAACTTGACTAGTTTACACAAGAAGGCTGTTGAGCTCATTCCGTCTTGAATGGGACAGCTTGGACTCGAACAAGTACAGTAGTTGTATAATCGAGGCAACAGACCTTCAGGCTTCTATACCACTTCAAATCAACCCCGCTAAATCAAAATTTTACGCTAGATTATGGGCTTCAAACTTGACTACAATTCAACACATCAACACGTAAGAACCGCTCTCCGAACCCAAAGATCTCACGTCAACATTGGAGCACTCAACTCTCCCCTCCACATGGGAAGAACATAAAATTTTAAATATAATTAAATCATATATATATCCACGATTTAGCCACAAGACTGACCATGAGAGTCGTAGTGCAGGTCGGAATGGGAACGTTTACCGAAGCCTCGCGCGGTCGCCAAGGCCGAGTTCTGAAAGCCTCTTCTGAGTCGGTCTGCAGCCTCCTGACGAGCCCGCGCCATGAGGGCTGCCCTGCGCAGGCCGAGCTCCAGGGAATGGCCGCTCAGAACTGCGACTGTCAGCACCAGCAGCAGCGTCAGCCACACGCGCCACCACATCCTCACTCTGACCAAGATTATACAGCACAATGTTGACTACACGAATAATTGATCGTTTTATTTGTAAGCAGATAATTGATATTTGCGGTTAACGGCCGAGAACAAAACTTGAGGAAGATGATAAGTCTTGACTTAAAAAGGTGTTGCAAGTCAAGCAATATTACATCATCTCAATGAATATAATAAGGAGCGGCATGATAATGTTGTGTCTGAATATAATAATTCTTCGCGTTTCCCAAGGACAATAATGTGATAACATCTACGCTCATTTTTTAATTTTAAGAAATGATATTATATTCTAGATTTTATTTTAAAATATATTTCACTATTGTGTAATATATTACATTAAAATATATTAGATTATATCATATTGATATCTGCGCTGAAGAATAGCCCTGATGTGGCCTGTCGCCGATTCATGTTCTTTTCGTGACTTGTTCACAGGAAATCTAAAAACAGGTCCTTTGACCGAATCTTTTCAAAATGACAATAAATTTATTAACCATTCTTAACTTTCTTGAAAAAAAACGCAAATACATTGGGCTGTAGAAGAAAAAAGTTTTTAATGTCCAGCCAGGTCAATTTCTATTATATTTGTTTTACTTGTGAAAAAGTTCTATGGGTGAGAGTTGGGCCATAATATTGTCTCCTTACAATACTTACGATGGAGCTTCGTCTCAAACATTTTTTGAATAAACTCATAGGAGTTTAATTGTTAGATTCTGATTTCTATTTTGGCTATCTAACGGGTATAATACACAGTCTACGCCAGAATGAGGTTGGGCTCGCAATCATTGCATGCGATGAAAAATCTTTATCGTGAAAAGTTTCAGTGACGTCAATTAACTGTCACACAACTACTGGACAAACGCATAAACTTATGCGATTGTTCGGTCAGTCGTGTCATGGACATTACGGTAAAAGTCACCGTTATTGATGACCAGCAGATTATCTCTGACTGTCAGAGAAACTAACGCGGTTTTGTCAGCTGAATGCTAAATGGGTGAGAGTACGAAATGCGACAATAGTGCTCAAGACCTCACGAACAAACTTTTTGCGTTTGATTCGCGATGACATTGCTAGATTCGTTTCTATGGTTCCCGAAATGTGATAGCGAATGTGTTGGATATATGAAGCTCAAGTGGGTCATCGATCTAATCTAATAAAAGAGCAGTGCAATTTTTCGATGTGCTGCATAAATCATATGAAGCTTTCAGAATCAGTATTTTTCACACAAACTGTACTGCCAAGAACTTGGAGCGTAGGAATGCCAAAAAAGTAACCATATCTTGATTGAAAAAGCTCCGGAGATCAGCTTCATGATCAGTGTTAAAATACCGATTTGTATCAGTTTTGAGTATGAGCTTTTGTCAATTAAAATAGTCTGAAGTTACTACATTTCTCGATCGTGCGCGATTGTAAGTATTTCCATCTCTTTATTGTGACGACACTCAATCATTGTATTTCCTTCAGACTAAGTGGTCAAGTGCCAATATAACGAAGCTCTTATTATCGTTTTAAAAATGAAGGTTGAGTGAGAGGGCGTTATTATCAAGTACAAGCCGTGGTTCAATACAGTTTTGTAATAACATTGAGCGCGGCACTCGCTAAGTTCGCGCTCTGATCACCGCTAAGTGAACAAAAGCCTCGCAAAATGAAGGTCATTTGGGGCCGCCAAAATAAAACGTTCATCGTCATTCACTTAACTATTACTGATGCTTCTGAAATATTAACTAATACTAATGCTTCTGAAAATTCATGCAGTGATAGAAAGAAGCCAAATCTACTATCCCTCGGCTTCTTTTAGGTGCTCATGTCGTTAATCTTTGCTGGAAGAAATTTGGTGGGAAAAATCCCATTTGTTTGTCTTCTCGCTATAATTATTGATTTTATTGAGTTGGTCTATCTCAGTAAAATTTCTGATTGTATGAAAGTTTAGCCATAGAAATTCTAAATTTTAGCGCCGAAAGTTTAGAGTATAGAGGTAAATTTTTACCGTTCCACAACCCACAAAAAAATTTATAAACTTCTACCTAAACTTCGAAAAATTTCAACCTAAAGATTGAAAATCTAGATTAGAATCTTCAGTAATTTATCTAATTTATTTTACCAATTCATGGATTAAACTTGACAAAACGTCGCAGAAGTTCGACATATGCAAGCATGTCAATTCAGTTCGACATTCTCCCCTGTACCAAAGTTGTGCGAGTGCAAACATTCTGTCATGTGGAAAGAATAAAAGGTTCATAATTTGAGATGCAAACGTATTTCACGTGTGATTTCCCATTAAATTCTTTAGACTTCGATCGGCTTCCGGGGCCTTTTTATTATCGAGTTAGAGCGTGAGTGACGCACGGCAAAGCAGCTACGCATTGCGACACCCAGGGAGGGCGAACGCCTCTCGGGGCAACTGAAGTCCAGGGCTATGAAGGTCGTACTATTTATCCTCACTGTTTGAAGTGTAAATATTTCTTCACTTCAGGTGTCTTTAGCTATAGCAGATGTATCGCTGTGGTGTGAGCTACCATATGTAAAAGTAGGACGATTTTTTTAATTTTAATCATATAAGTATATAAAATATACTTTATTTTCATTCTTTATTATATACTTTATTTTTCTAATGTCCATACTTTACATACATATAAAGTATAGACATTAATTTATTTTTGGAGCATTACGCAGTAATGTTATTGGAAACAATGAAGGCTCGAAACATCCAACATCCATTGCTGCGATTTAGGCGCAATAGATAGGTCAATAGTGCTGTAAATAACAGGCAGCATCAAATAAGACAATTGCAGATATGTAATACTGTACAGTCAGACCTGTGTGAATACGTAGTATACCAGTTAGAAAACTAACAGAATATCTTTTTTACGAAAGTTGAAAATACAGCATCTGGCATTGAATTATTCTAGTAGAATAAAATGACTTCTTACATAATAAGTCTTTTTCGGGAATTACTTTCTAAACTAATAATAATCGAAAAAAAACGTTCTTAGGAACCTCAAGAGGCTGGTGAACAAAGCCCTCGCCCATCCACGAGGCTCATAAACAAGAAGATGATGGCTTTATGAGCAAGCGATGTCTGAGGCAAATTGCCGCTCATTTCCAACGGCTATTCTGATCAGAAGAAATCTAGTCGATGATAGCAGCTTCGCATCGCCTCGCTTACGAAATATGTTAGGAATCGAAGACCATGAGCCTCGAGAAAGATAAAGCGCGTGAAATTTACTTTTAAAAATCATCAATCAATTGGGACATTAGTCTAGATTCATGGATGATCAGCGTTGGCTAGGTGCATCCGTTGTGTATCAAACAAAATTTTAAAACGGAACTTATGCAAATTATTGGAAGTTTTTAAAGTACCTAAGAATGCATATTTACTGCACGAGGATCTTTTATTCTGCTTGTGCTCATAGATATTCTACAGATATAATGGATTAAGCATCGCTCCTGCGCACATTATAGGCCGCCGTGACTTGAAAAAGTTCTGAAAAATGGGGAAAATGAAATGGCTCTCATCAAGCAAATTTAAGTGCAACGGCGATCTTAGCTAGAGTTGTCTCTCAATACATATATGAGCTGAACATTTTCGCCACATAGAAGTGGTGCAGAATTCAAGGGCAGCATTTTTATTTAGTCAGGGTTAGCCACAACGCCCGAGTTCATGCGTAAAGCTCAGATATCGAGACCTCATTTCAGTGATGCGTTCTTGACAATGCCGGACCAACGCTCTAAATTGCGCTTTTCCAAGGATGAATTTACACTCGATGCTTTTTTGCGACACTGTTTTCATCCCGACTCAAAAATGTGTGCATTCTCGAACATGGATGTGGGAAACCCATATTTTGGAAGACGTCTTATTCTTTTCCACGGAAACAATGAGAAATATGCCACTCTACTAAATTTTTGTTGGAAAACAACGCACAAAATATAAGACTTCCCGAAATTGTCAAGAGAAATGTTGAAAAGTTAGTAGCATATGATTCGGGTTATGAAACTGGAGGAGTTTACGATATTTCACATGTATTCTTTTAAAAAGATACAAACTGCACAACGTTGACGCAATCGTAACCACACATAAACATAAAAATGCAGACAATAGTTTTGTTCCTAGGCGCGATAAAAAAGATCTAGTTTTCAGACATTGAAGGTAATCGGACGATTTAAAATATAAAAAAAAGCCATGAGCTCGCCGCCGCAAGTGCAGGTGTTAATAAATGCACAAGATTCGTCGGATATTCTAATGCGAAAACATTTGAGCTGACAAACGCCCTGTGTTTTTTTTTTTTTTTGTTATCAAAAGCTTCGTCGTGCATGCAGATTAGGCTCAGAAAACAAGACAGGCAGTTTTTCACAGCGTTAAGTTCAAAGTAAAACTTATGAAGGCCACCCAGATTTATACTGCCAAAATTTTGCGCAGAAAAAAATTGATTATAATTCATGGAAACAAACTTGAAATATTTACAGGCATGCATTAATATACGAATTTAAAAAAAAAATCAAATGCAACATTTTAGTGCCCAGAGAACACTTTGATCCATCAGATTTGAAAATAAATCTTGATGACATGAAACTATGAAAGATACTATTATTCTCAGAAGATAATTAAAGCAGACTCATCAGTGATAAACCCCTGGTCTAACCGTACAACCAATTTACGAAACAATAATTCACATTTGTATTGAAAGAAAAGTTTTGTTGCATTTTTTAATGCCATTTTTTAACCATATGACACTGAGGAAAAAAGAAATATGCTGCCCGAATATTTCTAATAATGCAGCCAACATATAGTTTGTAGGTTAAAGTGTGGCCAAGTGGGTACAGTTTAGAGTGCCAAGATTGGAGCAGTGAGTTGTGGGTTTGAGATGCCAGCTAACTGGGACAATTTTGGTCAAAATCGGCACAAAGTGGCCCTGCGGTAAAGCACAGCAAAATTGGAACAGTGAGTTGAATGTTCGAGATCCGCAGCAAGCTGTGAAAATTCAGTGACATTCACAATCTGCGACAGGTTTAACGACTGCTTTAATGGTCTAATCAACGCTAGCGCGGCCTTTCTAGGTGTAACACGACGTAAGCAATTGTCAGGCCATGTCTGGTAAGATCTGTGTTTCGATAGGCTGGTCAATTGGCTTATGAATGCCCATCGTACAAAGATTCTATGATAAAAAACGATAAAACTATACATTAAAAGATACTTTACGTTTTCAAAACTTTCATTTTCTGGAAAGTGCGAACCATTCATCCTGTATTAAAAAATCGATATATGTTCTGAAACTCTTACAAAATTATTCTCTATTACTTGGTCCCTTGCTTGGTTCATTGTTAAGGGAATTTTAAGCCAACTCATGTCAATAAATAACTCCAAAATTACTCTTTTGGCCATTCACATTGACGAATATTCATTCAAGAGAAATAGTAACAAAAATACAATTATTTGCAAACATCAATAATATATAGGCTATGACTTTAATTTCCCCAACGCGAAAATTCACCTTCATTCAGTGGCCTGCGATTCCATAAGAGGTTAGCATTCTAGTCATCATTGCTAATTAAATAAAAATCTGTTCAAACCTAAATTTTACTCTGAACATCGAACTCTTTTGCTCTCGCTTAAAACTATGAAAATCCCATTTTGCGCTTCCTAGGTTAAATTTGTATGTACAGTATATGTACCAAATTCAAACTCAACATTATATTTGTTATACAATCAGTTTATCAATTTCCCACAATACTTCCATAAAGAAAAATTTATTCAGGTTCAGGAAATATCGTAAAACGATAAGTGTCGTGGAAACGCTCCTGACCAGCCCATGTACAATTTATAGGCCTACGCCAACACGCATCAAAAACAATTTTTACATATATACATTAAACTGTTACATGTTTGCAGTTTCACAGTAGAAATCTATGGTTGAACTGATATTAAAAACATCCTTCTGACCGTTTTTCATAATAGACTGCTTGTTTCGCAAACCAACATCAATGGTGAAGTTAAGAAACAGTATCGAGTTGATGAGCTCTAATTAAATATTCGGGTTAGAAACCGTAGACTTCATACGAAGGTCCCACATTACTTTTCTATATCAAGTTGAATGAAAAAGTCGATTAATTTACTACTAAGCACTATGAATTTGCATGTTAATCTAGTACAATAATAATTAAAAAAAATTTTCCGATTGTTTAGTAACTTGATCTAAATCTCAAAAGTCATTTGTATCGAGTGTATAGACAGTAACACACATCGAGTGTACAGGCATACGTAGTGCGCGTGTTCACCGTGAATATAAGAATAACGTTTGAATTGAGAGTGTAGATCGTGAACACTTCTATGACAACTCACCTGGTATTGACAGGTGTACGCTTCGGTCGGAGTTTTATAACTTCCGAAAAAAATGTATATGCTAGACAGAATATCAGTAAAATTCTTTATTTCAAACGATCTGTAGCTGTGCTGAGGAATGTGCGAGTGTTACTCTAGGAGCGCGTTCCGCAGAGCAAGACTGTTCAAGTCACTGGAGGTTAGGTAGCGGCGAGCGTAACTACACGTGACGACAGTCGGCGCTGGAATGAGCTCATGGTGACCCTTCCCGAGCTTATATACTCGTGTGGGTGTTGAAAAGCTCTTGGTCAAAGAGACAACAATCTCAGACAATAGCTAAAAAAAGTCCGAAAAATCCATAACACATAAAATACCGAGGAAATAAATGAGAGCTTTGCAGTCAATTGCAGTTACATTTCGTCAATTCCATTCTCGGAGCGGTCGCTGAGAGGCTGTAAACATCGGATCACAGTAGCAAACTCTTCAATCATAATAGTTTACTGATCGTCCTAGTCATCCACGATCGTACCAGCATATGCCCCTATTTCTCAGCATGTGGGAAATTATCTTCCTTGTATTCTCATAGAAATTACCTTCGACTTCAAACACTGGGTCCACGCTGTTTTCGTCTTGTGGAGAACACCCTTCCCTATTTATATTTTACTATTCGGACCTGATACAGATCGCGCCATCCTCAACAACGCATGAAACTGATTTCTAAGATGTACCTTACAAAGAGGGCTAGATATGCAGTTTCCAAAGCTGTGGTAATGATACACTACGTTCTGGAAAGTTTACTACTTCATTACGACGTTGATGCAAAAAGGCTGATAGAGGCCTAAAGGCTAGAGCTTTAGGCTGATTAAATATACATTTTCTTCTAAGTCCCAGCGTTGTGTAGGCTCAATAATCAATGGAATTTTAAAATCCCAATATCCCGAATCCGTCATTCCTTTAATCTATAATCCAACTGATAATAAAGCTTCCGTATGCTTACTAGGAATTGACCGATTCAAGCCTATATTTTACATAGAGCTGAAAACTTCCATTGGAATTTCGTTTGATAATATAGAAAATTGAGAATTTTAAATTAAAATAATAATTTCAATTTAAAACTAAATTCAATTTTTCGGTCAAGTACTCCTTCCCACTTTTGCAATACCACTTTAACCTCCTACAAAGAAGAGATTTTCAGGTCCAGGTAATATCTCAGCACGGTTAAGTACCGCGGATAATCGCCTGATCAGCCTCTATATATTCCGGTGCCAGGCTTCACAATAACTTAGACAAATATACAAGATATTCAGGCGGCTTAGCAAACGATGGCGGTGAATGAAACGAGCAGCGAAGGGTTATCGTAAACTGCATACCGAGTGCACAGGCTCGAAGAAGAGAGCGCAGCTTGTGCAGTACAAGTTTCGTCTCAACACGGCACAACAAAGATACAAGATTGACCAACAACTACTCTTATTATACGTTACGTAAAAACAAAAGTACTAGTTTAACAATTAAGAAATAAATAGCCTGATAATTGTAGCTGAATAATTAGAAAATTCGACATCAATAAATTCATACAAAAATTTGGGTAACTTCTGTTGACATACCCAGTAAATAGAGTAACTCAATTACCAAGTAAATGGAGTAATAACAGAAGATTGAAATAAATTAAACGACGTCGTCGTAATAAAATAATTACGACGGTTTAAACGCGACGTCATCAATTCAACATCTTTCAACTAGAGAGCAATAATAATCGAGGAACCCTGCAATACTTGAATTAAAATACCAGCAGGATGAGCGATTCCATTGTTTAATTATCCTTAATCAAAAATTGAAACGCAAACATCTAAATATTGAATTACAGGTATTATCTACACTAGAATTAATTTCGATTACGGTTTAAAATACGTTATGAACATGGCAAGTTATCGGATATTCGTCTCTTTCATGAATGATCATGCATATATAATCAGAAAACGATCGAAAAACTGGGCAAAGGAATGCTCACGACGAGGCAGCGTAAATGAATGATCCGAGTGCCATCATTGCAGTATGAGTATTCAAGGTGCCATAACGATAAAACTCACCTCCTGTGCATCTTTACTGAATTTACAGATATGCTTAAACGTTACTCGGAGCATCGCTCGTAAACTGAGTTCGCTGAAATTCCCTCAATTAAAGTGAGCGCCCATTACGAGTGGTTGGTGCGAAGAAATCGGCATTGGAGTTAAGCCATGTAAAAAATAAGTCATGTTTCCAAGAAGCGCGCATGCTTGTCATTCGTGAGTTTTGATAGCCGTTTCTGCAAATTTTTCTCCTATAGATGCCACACAGCAAAAACAGGTATCAAATAGAAACGATTTGGCTACAAGCGCTGATGATGAAATTATAAGCCGTTAAAGCGTTCGCACTTCTCTCATTGTTATGCCAGCCAGCGTAATGAGAAGGTGGCATTTAAGGGCTTCTTCGTCAGATAAGAAGCAAGTTGTGGCATTTTCGCAGGCAGGGATTTGCTTACTGATGCCAGCCAGCGTAGGCAGGCAAGTAAGGGGAAGGTTGTGGCATACCCATGGGAATCTTTTCCTTAAGCTGATGTTGCTGCTGCTGTAGAGCATAGAGCGCCTCGCTGCCGTTACGCTGTAGCATTACAGGAGGAACGGAGACGGGAGCAGGGACAGGAGGCGGCACTCCAACGGGAGGAAGCGATGTCGCGCTGCTAACAGGGTTAACGGAATTGCTTTTAATCAAGGACAAGATCCTGTCTTGTAGCTCAGGCTTTGATGGTGCTGCTACAGCGCTGGGTGGAGGTTGGCTGTGCAGTAGAAGCCCTGACATGTACCCTGTAGGATACTGCACGGCGTGTGACGGAGGAGGACCGCCCACCGTTGGGTTGCGGGGAGCAAGAGTAGGCTGCGGTGGAGGTGGCTGCTGGGTTGCAGCCGCGCTTAAGCCGGGGTAAGTGACAGCAGCAATAGCGGCTGAAACAGCAGCCGTGCTCACAGGCAGACTGGTACTGCCAGCAGATGCCGAGGTACTACCAGCACCTGGCCTGGCACTGCTGGCAAAGCCGCTGACAGCAGAGGTCGCGTACTCGCCGCTCGTGGCACTACCGGAGTAGGCGCTGCTCGAAGCGTAGTTGTATCCTGGATACGTTATGGGCTGACTCGAGCGAGGGGCTTCCAGCGCAGCGCGACTTCCTGCATACAGAACAGAGCGTCAATGCAACCATGACAGAATTATTGAACACCACATAAACAATACTGCTGTATACAGCAATCTAGAATTACAAAAATGTGTTACTGAGTCTAACTTGCTTGTATGTTAGTGATCAACTTGTTTCGTGTTAGTCAAATTATTCATCTCTTGAGAAGATCTATAACTGCACAATAAGGTGGTCCCAGTGAACTTTAAGATTATAATTGCTAGCTACTGACAGACTACTTAATGATGGCTGCACGCAACTAATTTATTTTTGTTAAAGCGATCGTAAGGACAAATGTGGTTCAGTATAAGGAAGCACAATATTTCACGAGTTGAGGAGGACAGAGAAGAGAGAACTAGTTATGAAACGTACGTCCAATCGAAACTATCAATGAAACTCACTGGTAATTTTTGATATTAAGCACAATCAAACAATGGTTGTACATATCTATAGACTCAAGATTGAACGCATCATCCCAATAAAAACGGATCAACTTAAATAAGGGGAAAATAAGAGATGCTCAAGACAATTTTCACATGAGGTCAAGTTTGAGATGGCAATTAGAAGTCATCGTTGGATCATAGATATTATCATCTTAGGATTTATACAAATTGAAATCAAATTAAGCCAAGTTGGCGTAGGATTTGCAGAGGATCCTGTTATTTACCTGCCGTGAAGGACGCAGGACTCACCTACCAAGGGCAGCTGTACTGCAGGCGGCGACTCACGAGAAGGTCTTCGGCGTGGTTAGAGACTCACTCGTCCTGCTAGCTCCCTTCATGACTTTCTGTGGGACTCTTTTCTGATGCTAAATCTTCCAGAGTAAATTCTTTTGAAGCGATTGGCCTTCATATTTTTCAGCGTACAGATTTTCTTGACTAGTCTTTGAATTGATTAAGCTGTAACTTGGCACTTTTTGCCTCCAAGTTTCATTGATAAAATGTATTTTCATTCCAAATTTTGTTGTCGACCAGCCAGAACTCTAGTAGTGGCGACGGATAGTTGAGAATACCAGAATCACAAGTAGAAAGTTTAAGCTCGACAAGCCCCGACGTTGACCAAATCCTGGATCTAACCGCGGCTAATATAATGCGGATAAGAATCAAAACCGCAAGAAAGAAAGGATAAATTTTCCGGCGATCGATAATACGTCTCCAGAAGATATGGAGTGAGTGTGGAAAATTGTGCACGCTAAATTTCTCTAATTTGGACCCCTCGAGAAATTCGAAATGTTTTGGGTCAGCATGGCAAAGTCGTGATGGCGCAAGGAAAACTTGACCATCGATCAATCCTAAGGAAGTAAATGAATCTAATAGATACAGAATGCGACATGCCTGTCTGTCTGTCGATTACACGTAACCTTGAAGGCCGAGCCATAACGTCGATGTTCGACTATCACGAACGAAAACGTCCGTTGCGCAAGGTATTTCGAGGCATAAAAACACGCGGCACGCACGACGACGTTGTGAAATTAAACGTTATTGAAATTATAATGAAAACCAGAAGGCTCAAATGAACGACCTTTAATTGATAACGAAATACAACGCGGGTTTGAATTGATATGAATATCGTGTAACACGCGAAATGAACGATCATTCATTTTTAATAAATTATTTTACCCCAGACGTCTGAAGGCAAGTTATTCACACAAAAAAGCTACACGCGATCAAAAACACGAGAATTTCTATAGACTTGCCTTAAAAATACCAGAATTCAGCAAAAGAACATCGCGGCGCAATGAACAATTTAAAATCATAATATTGGAAATACGATGGAACTGTACGACAGCTCATTCAGGAAATATTGGCTGGCTCTATTGAGCATTAATTAAAACTTGTCGCGATTAAAAATTGTATCACGGTCGCATAAAATATCATTTAAAACGACGAGAACTACGCAGAATTTCAAGAACGGGCTTGGGCGCAACGAGTAAAATTGGAAGGCAGAGTAAGCCGACAACCGCGGGTATCACAGACTCGGTTATACGAGGCAATTTATGAACGCCAAAACCAATCGTCTCGTCGATGACACAGCCAAGTCACTCAAACGAGTTGAGAAAATACTTACCTAGAGCCGAAATTATCAGACGTACTTCTTAAAATTAATTAACAAGTATAAAGAACATGACTCACCTGCACTTTCCCGCTTCTGCTCGATTTGATCGTCAACAAGAATGTTTTGCCTTTCTTTCAAGTACTTGATCAATTTATCTAAGTCTCCCATGGAGAGGCTTCTCGCTTCGAGTAAATCGAGCATCAAATTTCGAATGTCGGAAGGAACGATCTCTCGAGAATTGCGGCGACGCGCGAGCCGCACGTAAGCTTCGAAATCACGTTGCACTAATACTAATGCATCGTCGACAGGCATGTTGCGGTGCTCTGATGGCGGTAGGGAGAACATCATGAGCAACATGGCAGTAGAGAAGCATAAGTCACTTGACAGTAGAGTGACATACGCCACATGGCAGTAGAGTGACACACGCCAGATGGCAGGGTACATAGGCGACGACAATGGCAGCTTTAAGAGCAGAACATTTCGGGTGACATGGTTCGGGTTCATAAACATGAAGAGCGCTATGCGCTGCATAAGAGTACACGTCAAAATATCGTGTGCGGGATGACGTAAGAGAGGTTGGTGCAGAATAGCATTAATTACATGGCAGAAAGGTGGTAAAACATGAATGACATGGCAGAAAGGTGGTAAAACATGAATGACATAGCAGAATGGAACAAAACATGAATGACATGAGAGAAAGGGCAGAATAGCATGAATGACATGACAGAAAAGGGCAGAATAGCATGAATGTCATGACAGAAAGGGGCACAACATGAATGCCATGACAAAAAAGGGGCATAACATGAATGACATGGCAGAATTGGCCAGAGAAACGTAAGTGAAAGAGCACAAGAAAGGCAGAAATATGAGTGACGTAACTCAGTTCCATATTCGTGCCATTAATGCATGATATAACACAGTATCATAAGCGTCATAACATAATATCATCAACAACATTATCGGGCATTATGAGCGACATAAAATGACATGATCCTGATTTGGAATTTACGCAGGGATAGAACGATAACAATTTACAATTTCCACGTGGAATTAAGTCATTTAAGTTTGAAGCCCACGTTGTTCTATGCAATTAGACAATGAAACCTGCAATTCAAGTCAGAAATTTTATGTTAAAATAATAATAAAAAAGCACCTCCTGCAGAATTGAATAGAATAATGCGTCATAAACTTTTAAGTAATAACGCGGAATGAAATTCAAACTGCTGCAATCAATTTGAATGCAGACTTGAGAAGATGAATGTCTTCTGTAGTAGAAGATAAAGACAAGGTCCAAACAACCTCGATGATGATAGACAAGCCACGTCTGACACGCATAATTCAACAAAAGACTAGGAAATGAATGACCACCCGCACACGAATACATTAACAATCATCTCAAGATTGATCAGCAGCCTGGGGATAGAAAAATCATCTTCATACACAAAATTCAAATGAAAAATTACAACGAACGAAAATATTGTAGCGTAGCTAGAAAAACATCGCACATAGCACGGAAAATTAAAAACCTGCAACACAGAATTTTAGAATTAACGATCAAAAGGTGCGGCAATACCGAATAACATCGAAAGATTTAAAAAAGACGGCAAACAGCTCTAAGTTAATGAGGTCTATGCGTGTGTTTTTAGCGGCACGCAACTGCAACAATGCCGGTCCTGCGACAACGATCACTCAGAGCACAATAGACATAATTATCATTCACTAATTGGCAAGTCTATAATGAAAACACTGGAACTTCACATTTTTTGCAACAAGATAGTAGTTGGAGAGATGAGTATGGAGTAATTCGCGGGGCTTAAATATGCGATAGGCTGATAGATAATAATTTCGACGATCGAATAGCCACCAGACTAATGGTGCGTTTGGAGGGACAAAATCCAGATCATTAGACTTTCGTGCGCCGTGAATAATTCATCTTGATGAGATCAACGAGTCAAGATATTTTTCAGTGGTTGGTATAAATAAATTGTGCCTGACAATAAGACTTTAGTGGCTTGAGAATAGAATAGATTCTTTCATTAAACGAAGTACTCAGGCAATCATTCAGAAACCCTGCAGAGCAACCAGCGTCCTTCGTTCAAATGTAAAAGTGAGAAAGTTATGCTGAAAGAATTCTGCTGAATAGAAAAAAATCATTAATCGTAACAATAAAGTAACTATGAAGAGATCTAAGATCTATTCAACAGATGAATGCAATCATTATCACTATTGCATCTTTAATTTTAACGCCATTACGTCAAAACGGTAAAAGAAAAATATACTAATCTAACAACTACTGAGAACTTCATGAACATATCTAGGTTACATTCAGTCTGGATAAATAACCTCAATGGTTTTTTGAAACAATTTTAAAAGTTTCCTAGCAATCTCGAAAGCTTTGAACGAACTTCAAATATGAAAATATATAGACAGAGGTAACCGGACCAGTGCTCGGGACTGGTACGTAATAAAATCATGACGAGATGATGAGTTCATACCTTGTGGCGTGCCGTGCAGGATGTTGAGAGTGAGCGAGCGATGCTTCTCGTTTTCAGGCGTCACAAAGACAGCGTAGAGGCAGCGGCGGCCCGCCAGGTCAGCCAGCACTCGGCTGCTGGAGACGTCGCCGGGAGGGAAGAGGATGTCCACTAGCAGCCCGCACCTCTTGAGTTCAACCTCAATGCTCTCAGCGTATGCTCTGCAATACAACAAATTTTAGAGTGACATTCTTACCTGAGCTCTATCTACATTCTACAGGGTGATTCATGGAAACTTCCTGTGTTGTATTTCGCGGCCAAGTAGCCAGATTTTGCAAAAAAAGGCATTGAGCGTTTCATATATAAGGCTAGGTCATGAAGTTATGTGTCCCGCCCAGTCAGTTGCCCCCATGCATTGGACCAGTGAGCAGCGTGCGTTCACAGTCGAGGTGTACTTTTGCCGTTCCATTATTGCTACTTAACGAGCATCTCGTACTCGATTCCGTATTAGTCCTTCAGGTCGGCTTTCTGATCGGGAATCAATTGTTACGTGGGTGAAAACATTTAGGGCAAGTGGGAGTGTTTTTATGGAGTTATCTTGAATTAATTGTTTACAATGAGTGTCCAAGATCCTACCTAATTTGAAGAACAACATACGCAAAGCCATCGTCAACATCAATATGCTTCAGCAAGTTGAACGGAACTTGAAAAATTGACTAACTTCCTTAGTTGCTTTCAAATCAGCAAGTTTCCGTGAATCACCTTGTGTGTGAGCTCTGAAAGACAAGGTACCGTAATGCTAGTCTGAAATACCGTGATGCTTTGAAAATGTAACAACACCAGTCTCAAATTTGCTTTTGTTGATTGATGATTTTGATTGTTCACCTTCATCGATAGTAGAGATATTCTCATAATTCACAAGTCAGTGCTAGTTAACCGGCGATCAGGAGCATAATTGGCTCTGAAAATATCACTGTTAATAAACTTGTTACCCCACCGACAAGTGCATTGGCAGCAAATGAAGCCATATTCCGGGTAATATGTTCACTGCAATACGAATAATAGTAACTATCCATCCACTTTACACAAGAGGCATAATATACATGGTAACATGAAGGCTCACCGCTGCATCTTGTCAGGCACCACAATCTCGCAGTCGTTAGGCCGGCCGGGGTCGAGGGGGTCCAAGACGGGCAAGGCCGCCCCTGGAGCAGCTGCCCCAGGACCAGCTGGTGGATACGCAGCAGGAGTGGCAGCAGGATACTCTCGAGGAGCTAGCCCAGCAGGGGCAGGATCCCGGTAGTAGCGATCATAGTATTCACGATAGTAGTCAGGGTAGTCGCTGGCATAGCTCGCAGGTCGTTCACGGCCAGGAGCGCTGCCGGCGCGTCGGTCGTTGCCTGCTTCTGATCTGCTGATGAAATCCATTTTTAATTCACTGATTTATATAGAAGTCAATATGATTCAACAGAAATGATCGAGAGATTAAAATCGAGATAAGTAGAATTGCGGTATTATTACTGATGCAAAACTTTTTAAATGGTGGAGTAGTATAGCTACAAACGTTCCTAAAATCATTAGAACTGTTACGAGCAAACAAGGAAATAAACAAGAAAGAAAATTTAGGCAAAATATCAGAGATTTTTCTTATCAATATTATTGTGGCAGTTACTGAAATAAATAATATTTACTGAAAAAGAAACATACCTAGATATCTATACATGTCAAAGCTGTTAGCGTGACTGTAAGAAACTAACACTTTATAACGCATTGCTGCCTTCACTTGCTGCCAGGTGACGAGAGAGCGCACCTCCAGTTTACCTTGGTTATCTACCGGCAGCCGATCCAGCAAGGTCTTCAATCTTACCTCTGTCCTGACGCTTGGCATACGCTTCTGCAGCGACTACAGGCTCTTAATCCTTACCAAGACTATTGTTCTCCTGTATTATTATTTTGTGTGGAATCTAGCAGGATTTATTCAATATTTATTTCATGTGAAATAAAAAGGTAGGATTTATCTAAATCTTACAATAATTCACGTTTACGAATAATCGCCATTTGGGACGCATTTGTTGATTCTAGCTGAAATACCTTCACTTGACCTATTATTTAGTGAATTGAACAGACATGAATACGAATGAATCATTCACCAGAAAGCTTTTCTTCAAATGGATATATGGTTGCGGCAACGGTTCACAAAGGCCGGTAAAGCCATGCAATGCGTAATACTGCCAATTGTTTATACTAACACACTAGCCTTTCCATACTTGTAATAGGAGTCATAGTAACTGTCGCGACGCCCATCTTCAAAATCCTGTCGCCGCGCGGGGGGAGCATCGCCTCCCCCTCGACCACCTCCTCTCATGGGGCGGTCTCTACCTCGTCGCCCACCATCGCGCGGACCATCATCATCACCACCACCAGGTCCTCCATACCGGATCTTGGCCGGCTTCACATCTGGTAGAAATTTGCATTTTATTGAAACTAGTGGAAAAAATTTCATACACACTAAAAATTATACAAAAACAAACTAAATACTGAAAGTTGCAAGCTACATAGGGGGTAATTATTATTTACATTAAATTAGATTGATAAACTAAAAGATTATACCAACTGTAGCTTATAAAAAGCTTTGGGTTAGGGAATTAAAATCAGCTCATAGCTTCACATACATTGCCTATTAAGAATATGAATGTAAAGAGTCTCATAAGTTGAATGTTAAGGAATAGCAAGCAAATATCATGAGAATTGTGGACAAAATTTCACTTTAAAATATTTCCATTCAAATTTTAGGTATGACTCATGGGCAGATATTGTAGCACAGAATGTTGTACAGATTTTCACTGACCTATTCACTGAATTTTCACTGACCTATTCTGTGTCCATCAATGAGCACATTAGGGCCATCAGCAAGACACTTGGCGCTCTCGTGCTCAGAGGAAAACTGCACGAATCCAAACTTGCGCTTGGTGATCATTACACCTGCAACATGAATCAGTCTATCACTTGACATCTATAGAATGAAGAGAGTTTCATAATGGGTACTAAAACATATTCAGTGATAATGTCAAAACTAACTCAACAGTACCTTGGAAATGCAACTTGATTGAACAAAACAAGTTGACATGAATTAAGCATCAATTTAGACACTAAATAACCTGAGCTGGCATAGAAATTGAAAATAACAAGAAAATTAGCAATATGATGCCTTTTTTCTAACAGGGTAAAAAACTATGGAATAGGAATTAAATAGATATAAATTAGTTGCTGAATGAGTGACTAACCTTTGACATCACCATACTTAGAGAAGTAACTTTTGAGCATTTCCTGGGTGACTTCAGGAACAAGGCTTCCAATGAAGATACGAGCATCCAGCGTCCTGGGATCAGTGGTGGTCTCAGAAGAGCCACCATGACCACCGGGACTGCGGCGACCAGCTGGAGAACGGGACCTGGAGTGGCTCCTGGCAAACAAAATACTTATTGAATGCACAATTTAAATCTAACAAGCAAGAAATTACATTCAACTAAAAAGCAAAATTTGAATGCATTCCTGAACTGGGCTATCTATAGCCTTGCCTTCCTATCCAGAGGGCAGATTTGCTGTATCCATAACTCACACTATATACTAGAAATTTAAAAGAGAAGAAAACACCAACAAAATTCAGCATATCTTTATTGAAAATGTTTTGGAGACCAGCTCCATCGTCAGTTTGATAAATCTAGAACAGAAATAAAGTCAGAAAAGTAATAAAGTTTGGAGTCAAAACTTTTACACTAGGGTTGCTGAGCATAGAGGGAGGAGTTATAGGACTGGGCAGTTACTATCATGCCCTCCTCATTCAGCTGTGCGCACTCACGCCAAACAGTGCAACAATCCAGTGTCCGACACTGACTTTAAAGTTTTAGCTTATAGTTCTGGTGCTTCCAATCTGTGTATTTAGGAATCATTGTGTATTTTTAAGGAGAAGCCTAGCTTAAATGCTGCCTATAGTATTATCCATTAGAAATTGTGAATAGATAGGTACTTACTTTATTATTCTGCCCTTTGTCTGTAAATTCAGGTTTTTAACTTTTGTATTTTTTTTACTCCAAACTTTATTAATTTTCTGACTGTATTTCTGTTCTAGATTTATTGAACTGGCAATGGAGCTGGTCTCCAAAACGTTTTCAATAGAGATATGCTGAATTTTTGTGGTTTTTTCTTTGCTTCTAAATTTCCAATGAATCTGCGAATAAAGCAATCTAGTGACATTATCACACTATGTATTCCAACAATAACATTATTATTGGACATCTAGTGGCCTTTTCTCAAAATGGCTTGGACATTAGTTGTTGCAACCTGGTTGAACATTATATCAATACCGTAAAATGGGGTAACTTAGACCACTTTTCATTTTTTAACAAAAAACCCCCAAAACTCAAAAACTATTTGACATAGAAAAATTTTGTCATAGGGTCATTAAAGGCCTAATACTGAGGCTACATAACACAATAGAAAGATTTAAAAAGTTTGCATATCTAATAGGTTAAAAAATTAAAAATGTGACCCATGAAAGGGAGCTATTATTTAAAGCCTGTTGGAGTACCCCCTCCAATTTTTTTATTTTTTGGTAAAATAACTCCAGGTTTGGATGCATTTTAGTAGAACTCTTCTAGTTACATATGCAAATGACAAATTTTAGGAAAGTGTCATAGGTAGTTTGCAAATGGGGGGCACCGCCTCCCAATGGGGGAACTCAGACCACCTAATGTCAGCCCTGAAGGGGTAACATAGACCGGCTTGGAAATTAATTTAAAATTACCATATATAACATACTTCATGTTTGGTAAACCTCTTAATGTTTTTTCTTTATGCTGCAGACTCTACAGAGTCTTATATATGGTAATTTCAACTTAATTTCCAAGCCGGTCAATATTACCCCTTCACAGCTGACTTTAGGTGGTCTAAGTTCCCCCATTTGGGAGTGGTGCCCTCCATTTGCAAACTATGACACTTTCCTAAAATTTGTCATTTGAATATGTACATATGTAACTAGAAGAGTTCTACTACAATGCACCAAAACCTGGAGTTATTTGGAGTTATTTTACCAAAAATATATTTTGATTTTACCACCCAGTCTAAGATACCCCAAGACCTGGGGTAACAAAGACCATCACTTTTTTTTAATTACATAAAAACTATGAGATGCAGGAGCCAGCAATTTATGGTGAGTGAACCTAGAGTATAGACCTGTATTTTGCACGTTTCAATTCAAGTTTAATTTATGTAGTAAACAAATGGCATCATTAAAAAAAATAGTCTTAAGTTACCCCATTTTACGGTACCGGAGATCACGCAGAGATCAACATTATATCAATACTGCAAATTCTTGGATAATGATTTTCCTCTCTAATATTGCATATTTGAAATGTGGAGAAAGTTCTTAAAATGCATCCACTCTTACTAAAAATCATCACATAATATTTGGAGGCAATTCAAGAACTCTCTGCTGAAAGGTACCTATAAAGTAGCTGCTTGTGTGTCTATCTTACAGAATTAGGAGGCAGCAACTGCTGCATGCACATTGTCTCTGGCTCTGGGAGAAGCTATGAAGAATGCAGTAACATAGTGGCAAAGCAGAGACTTTTATACACTACCTGAATGCCTGAACTTCATTTTTGAGTCCTATAAGTTGACAAGGTAAGTATCATGGATATCATCATACCAGAATTATCATACATAAGAAAAAGGTTTAAATCTTGAGTAGATGAAGAAGTTAAAAATGAACTGATTCTAAAAAATCTCTAGTTTGCCATTATGTCCAGTAAACAAAATCTATTCTTTAGGTTCCTTTTCTAGGTCTTAGGAATTAGGATTAACCCTTTATGCCCTGAATTTCTGGGACAAAAATTGTAAAATTCACTTTTTCGGTTTTATGTCTCACTTCGAAGCTGACATTCTGACCTATCCAATGGTACCAAAGTCATCTCTGTACGTTGATTTATGCCTTGACGACAGTTCGTGAAAGTGTTAGGGGTGGGGGAGTTCTTTCACATTTAATATAGGCGAAAATTACTGGTTGGGCACATAAATATGCAACCTGAAGACGCTGATCTTTAGTTACCCGGCTGCTGTCATGTGGGATGGTACTCATGCAGTCGTTCCCACTATCCTTGACTGAATTTCAGCTCCAGTAATGTCTAGTCTTGCATCCATGTCACCTTGAATGCCTATTTTGAGGCGCTCGGGACTTTGTCGCGCTCTACTGAACATTCACACTTATTGTCACTGCAAACCTATTTCCTCCCAGAGTTTTTAAGCTACAGCAATGAGTAATAAACCGTTCGATTTGCAAATAAAAGATCTAGAGATTGGTTAAAGCTTTTTTTCAATTTCGTTAAAAGTTTTAAAAATATTTTGAAAAAAGGGGAGGGGAAATTCGAAAGGGTGGGGGGAGAAATAATTTTTTTCAAAAAATGCCCACCCCACCCACAAAAATTAGAATTTACCCCCCCATTTGCAAACTATGACACTTTTCTAAAATTTGTCATTTGCATATGTAACTAGAAGAGTTCTAGTGCAATGCATCAAAACCTGGAGTTATTTTACCAAAAAAATATAAAAAATTGGAGGGGTACTCCAGCAGGCTTTAAATAATAGGGTAAAAGCAGTATATTCCAACATCGTGGGTAATTCTGACACCTCTCTAGTTTTTCCTTTATATTAAGCTTTGTCTTAGTTCCACACATTCATTGATGGTTGAAATAGTGAAGTCATACCTTTGCGCACCAAACTATTGCCAAAACACTAGGTTTGGGCCGTCTGGTGGGAAAATGTTGAGATGATGAGATCCAAAGAGACAGTGCATGCCACCCAGTGAGATCATCAAGAAATATGTCAAAGTTGATAGTTGACCTTGCTCTACCAAATAGTGATAAACTATTTGTGTAGAAAGAACATTATGGTTTGAGACTTTTAAATGCGTCTGTGACTGTGAATATATTAGAAGTAGGTATACTTGCATTTGCTGATTTCAAGTGGTAAATAAATTATTAGATGATTAGGTCAAGAAACAGATTTAGACACATAAAAACTAATTCCGACACAACTTGAATTGGACACACACAGCTCGTTCCAAGCTGCGTGCAATAATTAAAAGCTCAATAGCTGTTAATTAAAAGCCTATTTAGGTAGTGTTCAATATTCAATAGTGTTCTAATTCAAAGCCGTTTTGTATTCCAAAAAAGCTCACACAGCGATTGGAATTCGAACACAAGGATGTCGGAAATCGGAATTACGTATTAGTAGAGTTTGAAGCACGGCCGGAGTTCGTCTCACAACGTGCCGACTGCCGAATTTAGTCACACACAGCGTCAGAATATAGGGATTTGGTAGGTTTGCATTCTGAAGGCTTTTAAATAAATATGGCAACACTTTGTGATGTTTCATTGTTGCTGGCGAGTGGCGCGTAGTGCAGCGTTTTGACTTTTGACTTTTGAGTCACGTAAAGCAAACAGAACTTGAGTAATGCATAGTTATTTTTTTATAGTTTTTCATTTCTTGATGCGTCCTTAATGTGTCGGAATATACCGCGTTTACTCTAGCTCTTTTTCTTGTGTCACATTTTTAATTTTTTAACCTATTAGGCTAGATATGCAAATTTTTTAAATCTTTCTATTGTGTTACGTAGCCTCAGTATTAGGCCTTTATTGGCCATTGACAAAATTTTTCTATGTCAAATAGTTTTCGAGTTTTGGGGGTTTTTGTTAAAAAACAAAAAGTGGTCAAAGTTACCCCAAGAGACAAAGTAACACCATTTTATGGTAGTAGGCTAACAAATTACCTACAAAATTTTAGTTAAATTTTATTTTTACAATTTTGTCCTGCTGTACCTAACCTACCTATTTTGTAGACATGAAATTTAATTTTGATTGCAAGCTGTCTATAAATAACAATTGATTCTGATGTTTAAAACAAGATTGCAGTAGGCTACAAACTACAAAGTTTGACTTTTTATTTCACAATGACACAATCTTGCACCAAATGCAGCCATATCACCTATGTTACAATCTATGTTGCCTGGCAGGCTGGCCCTGGTAGTGTGCCTGTGTGTACTGTGTAATGTGTGTATGACTAGTGAACTGAATACTAGTAGGTAGGTAGCATAGTGGCAAACCAGAGCTTTTTTGGAAGTTGTTCTTTTTTGTTTCCTCAATAACACAAAATTTAAACCAATTTCTCAAGTATGATAATGCTGGTATCCATGATACTTTACTGGTCTACTTATAAAGTTATAGGACTCAAAAATGAACTTGAGAAGTTGAGGGAGAGTTTAAAAAATTCTCTGCTTTGTCACTATGGCCTAGACTGGAAAAGCGTATAAAAATTAAAATATTTTTTCCAGCTCTCTTAATGAAAACCTAGGTATTCCAATTTTTGCAATGTAGATTTCAAAACATGAAGCACAGAGTGTCAGAGTCCAAGAGACCAATTATTTCAAATGTTTGCGTACGGCCATCCGCCATAGTCCACAGAATCAGAAGACTGTTCGAAAGGCAACCGTGCATAGCAATTTCTGTTCGATTTGGAAATACCTAATAATAAAAACTCACCAATCATCATTACGTCCTCTCTTACTGCCCATATTCTCACGACGAGACATTAACGTTAGGTTAACGAAAGTCCTGAAGTCTTGACGATAACAAGCTTCGCTGCTTCAAGCCTTCAACTCTCGAGCTCAAAGAGAATTCTCGTCTTTAGCGTCGGTATCGGTAATATGGCGGAAGCTCTATGGTAGTTGGTAGTACGGTAGGCAAATTGCTTTTCTGAAATCCAGTACGGATTGTAAATGCTCTTGAATGGATTGTAAAAAGAACAGTTGTAATTCTGGCAAATATGAATGATTAAAATAATTTCGCTTTTAGTATCATTGAAATGACTACTTTGTTCATGAAATAAGCATACAACACTTGTTTGCGCTGTGCGTGAAATCGATTTGCCAAAAACATAAATGCATGAGGTCCATGTTTTTAATCTATGCAAAAAAGCCTTGACTATATTCATGATAAAATTTCGAGTATAGGCTATGCGTACCGATTGAACAAACTTGTGCCATGACACGTTGCACTTGAAATTATTATTCGTTTACAGAATATATTATTAGAAAGGTAAAGGAATATCTTGTGGTAAATAAAATCTCTACTGTCGTACTCTCTCGGAGAAGTGTCGATTCGGTACTCCCCTCAGCAAGTCATATTCACATCTGCTGTTTCCAGCATTGCAGGGCAAAAATTGTATTGTATTGAACAATAATCGAAACAAATCCGCCTTCCATACTTCTCCAACACATGTTCCTCCTCAAGCTGGCAAACAAGCTGCATGGACTTGTTGGCTACACAGTCGAGGTCTTGCGCTAGGCTTGGTTTGCTGGCAACCCTGATGCATTGTCGAGCAGCCCGTGCACAATGCCCATACTTTCGTGTCATGTAGATCTAGTCTACTTATAAGTATAACTTAGGTAGTTCGATTCGATCATGCTGTGAGGCTTTCACTTTGGAACTAAGTGAGTCGGTATTGGACATTTATATCTGAAAATCAATTATATTGTGAGGAAGGAAACGCAAATCAGAATTCATCAACCTAGTGTAATGTTCTATCGCTGAAATTAGGTTGTAAAAATAGTAATCTGACAGTCTTCTTCGTTTTCTCATTACTCCTGCTGATTAAGTAAATAGTCTTTCACATGTTTTTTGAAGTTATATTGTATTAATTATAACAAATTTGAACACAAGTGTAATGCGCGACTTCTTTTCCATTTGGGTGTTAGGCGCAGTTGATCGTTTTCAGGGTAATAGGTGGCTTATTCTTTCTTTAGAGTTTGATGGGCAGTTGATAATGTAAGGCTGCGGCCAGACTAAAAGCGTTGACGACAACGCGGGCTGAAGCTGCAAGCGGAGCGGCGGCACGGTGCGTATATGATTTTAATTAAGATGAGTTTGGGACTTAAGTGTCTCCGGTCACGCTGATGCGCCGCCTTCGACGTCCTCCGTCTCCGAGTCGTCGCTATGCATTGTTTTTTGTTGCATTGAGATTAAATTTCTTTTGATAGTATTTTTGAATACTATGCGTCTCTATACATAATTTAAATCACTTTTCCTGTTAAGTTTGTGTACTTACATACATTAAAATACGATTTTTCAAGTGTACGAATATATATTTCCCCCCACTGTATATAACTACAGACTATCAAGAGCTCGGCGTTGTGTAGAATGCACCTTTGGCATTATGACTTCAAAATTCAGATTTTTAACGAAATCCATCGAGACCAGCATGGATAATATGCTGCAGAAATAACTAAAGCAATTACGGTTTTGCGCAACGTGATTCTTTTTACTTGTTAGATAGAAATTTGATAAAGACACGGCATATCAATGGAATTGAATGCATCAAATGATCAACCTGAAACTATAATTGCTCCTGTTCTTAGAAACAGCTGCAGAATTGCAACAGATGTTCGGGAAAAATTCACAAATTTATTTCGTATCAGATGCAGGAAAAGTTGCTTCTTGCTTGGCAGTATCATATGCTCTAAATAAACAATAAGTATATCCTAGTGCACTGAGTGCTAAGTTCGTTCACTTCTATTCTCTTTGTTTAATAAAAGAATGTATTATTACTGTTATTAGCTGAAATATTGAGTGAATCAGCTATCATAGACCAATGGATGCTGATGTTTGTCCCATCACTGTGCTGTGGGTGAGAGGCATCCCAGATTGCAGGTACCGCCTCAAGTGACGAGAGCAATGCGTCGACATCCTTCTCTCATGGCTGCTTCAAGGACACTGAACGCGCGTGTCCGCGTCGAAATATTTGTCTCGAGTAATGTCGATTTTCCACCGCGCGGCAACGCGTGTGTACGTTTGAAGCAGCTTCTGCCTGTACGCGTTTAGTGTGGCCACTCTTGTAGAAATACATACATATAATATCGCAGCGTGAGCGCGCGTACGCCTGCGTACGCGCCAACGCTTTTAGTCTGGCCGTACCCTTAGTGTGGCGTCTTATACGCCGGTCTTTCTGTCTTATACTATATGAAGAATAAGAAGCCAATGCAATCTGAATAACCCAATTTCGAACCTGTTAGGCCTATAGTTTAATACCCCGACGAACTTGCCCCGTACTGCCCAAGTCTGACTACTGTGAAGTCTAAGTAAATCTTATACCTTTGTTTTCATTCTCTTCATTAAATTGTATAAACAGTAAATCCAAAGTCATTGTTCGTTCATATTTATCGTATCTTAGTAAATAGCCATGTTTTATACTATATGTCTCAGAGTTCATTATTTGTGTTTCAGCTTACACGATAACGGTAAAGGGAAGTGTCCATCTGTCCATCTCCTTTAGTGCTAACGAGCTAGTTAACTGTCCGAAATACCATCATACTCTTAAAACTTGGTGAAGTTACACTAAGTCATCCTTAGCATAGTAAGGCTTTACCTTACTATGCTCTCACTAATAATAAATTGTCAGGCCCACGCCTTGACCCAACAGTATCACGCATTAGCGCCCGATCTGTCTTATATATTCAGGGCGCCTGATTCTTCAAACACAAACTTAGGCAAATTCAAATATGATTACGCTGCTCGGTTTAGAATTAATTTGCAGACAGGTGGAGAAGAATGAAGCTTCCCTGGCCTCCCTGCCTGCCGAGGCTGACCTCCTGCGCTCGGATCTTGCTGGCAGGGATCTGCAAATTTCGCAGGTGTTAACCAAGATCTTCTCTTTAAGGCTCATTACTCCTGCAGAGAGGCAATAGGCGGGAGGCTGGAACCACGTTTCCCATTCTGCGCATCTTCGTCAACGAAGATTTTATAGAGAGGCCCGAGACGAGAAGGCAATACCCGAAATGAAGCGAGTCACGCGGTTGCAATTATCCATAAGTTGATCGAAATATTTTGCCTGCCATTAAACCTGCTTTTAAATGAAACCCATACCTTTTTCATTCATCCTGACACATGTTTCACATGAGCCTTTACAGTTACTGTTCGTGCGTTCGTTAAATAAAGCTTAAAATTCTTAGATTGTGTTAATTCCGTGAAGATTCACAATATCCTGCCTTTTGAACCAGATCTTTCCATAACTATAACTTCATTATTCTTTAGTTTATCCTGCAAATCTCGTACAAATTCTGCATGAATGCTAATGTGGCTGTAATTTTCAGGGACCAAATTGTGTGCACAAAGTTCCAGTTGGTCGACCTCGCAGGCAGCGAGTCAGGGAAGCAGCTAAAGGAAACCATCGGTATTAACAAGGGCTTCTAGCTGTTGGACTGACTAGTCAGCCCCCACGCAGCGAAGCTCAAGAGTATCTACACCTCTAGACTCTAGAGAATCGAAGCTAACTCTGCTACTAAAAGGTCAGACTTTATTAAGAATAGCCTTCTTAGGTCAAGGTCGGAATTGCCTAGATTTAGGAATGAAATTGATGCTGTGTTACTGCTAATTTTTACTTGTCTTGTAACATAGTGCATTAGAGACATGCACGTACATAGTAATTAAATATCTTGAATAGTCTGATTAATTTTAAAAGTTTCAAATTTATATTTTTATATATTCTTGTTATTGTTCTTCACAACATATTTCATTTCTGCAGACTTTATTGGCGGCCGTTCTTATTGTTTGATGGTGGACTGCATATCGCCTGCCCACAACTGCCTGCCCGAAACCTCTAGAACCGCAGATTTTGCGGACCAAGCGCGGCAAATCAGTTATAGCCCAAAGGACATCACAATATATCGTCTCAGACAAGAGGTACAGTCTATGTGAGGTCTTGTACAGAATACTTTTATGTTTGAAAAGTGCATATTAATTAGATTTTTTCGTAAACTTTTAAACACCAAGGTTGTTGAAAAAATAGTTTCTTCAAAATAAGTGAAATTTATAAGCGCAATTTTTTCCCTTGTCGATAGCAAATTTAAGAAAGCTACGTAAAAATACACTTTGCACAATAAACTAGCGTTGCATAAGGACAGACGTTTTAGAACGGGAACATTACTTGCACATCCTCCTCCACATCCTTCAACTGCGCCTCCATGCAGAGCAGTGAAATGTTTCGGTGTACGATAATGACTATGTTCTGGGTCAGACGTGCAGTTGTAGGTGCACTTTTGGCGATACACGGGCAAATTCATGTCAACTTTGAAAAAGTTGAAGGTTGGAAGTTTTTTTTCCACAAAATGTATGTCCTGTCTGTGTCACTGGTAAATTTGCTCGTATAAATTTCAGGTAACAGATCTGCAAGAAAGGGCGATGGAGCTGCAAATCCAAGTGGTGCGGCAGGATGACGAGAACAGCGGTCTTAGACGAGAGGTACAATCTATATAGGTTCTTGTACAGAAAACTTTGCGACGAGAGTAAGAATTGTTTAAGCTCAAGAATTAGATTTACGCTGAATAACCTCAGGAACTGTAAGGTTCTTCGAGATTTGTAACTGTCGTCGACGACGAACCGCTGCCAGATGAGCAGCGAGTCCAATATTGTATGACGTTCGGTATTATCGAGTAGGAATTCTTCAATCCTGCTCGATTCTTACTCTCAATCTAAGAGGTGCCAGACAGTGTGGCTATAGACGAGACAAATCGGATCACGTGGTTGCAATTATCCATAAGCCATAAGTGAACGAAATATTTTGCCCGCCATTAAACCAGCATTTAAATGACCCACAAATTTTTCAATCTATAAATTTTTCATGCAATTTTATTTGTGTTGACAGGTTGGCGTCTAATGGAAAGAAAATACAGATCGTTACGAAAATATTAGCATTAGTCGCTAACAACAAGAGGGCTGTTTGCTCAGCAATCACTTTGAAGTTTGCTCAGCAAACGGAAATGTGATTGAATCTCGGGGCACTTTCGAAGATCAAAATTAGGAGCTCGCGCTCAACCGTCCTGAAAAGGAATTTCTTAATATAGATAGTCCGATTGAT